TTTGGAAGTTGGAGAAAACCCATGCAAACATGGGGAGAACATACAAGCTCCACACAGATAGTGTCACAGGCCTGGAATTGAACCTGGAGCCCCAGAGCTGCAAGGCAGCAGTACTAACCACTGGGTCACTGTGCCACCCTGAACCACTGCTAATTGATTATTTTTACATCAGCCTGCCTGCTTAGACATTTGTTTTCCGTGTTTCTGCAAGCTTCCAAAAATAGCCTACTAATAATTCACATAATTTGAAACTCAAGCATACAGATCTTTAAATAATTGCTTCACCACATCCTTACCTTTGGTTCTGATGAAACACCTCCTGATGGCTGATCAATTCGTGATGAACAGACACAGGTGGGAATGTGTCAGCCCACAACCAGTATCCGCCTTCCTTCGTCGACACCACACCTGCATGAGGGGAGCCCTGCAACTCAGAAAGCGATCCGGAAGCAATATCAATGACCATTCTCATGAACCCCGTCCGGAGCTGAAAGGAAGTTTAAAGAATGCCAGGCTGTAGACGATTAAGATCTCAGCTGGAGCAAAAACCCAGACAGACTTTTCCCCCCAGGGCCCGGATCGGGAACTATCCTACAGCACAGGAGGAGCTCACTCATCTCCAGAGTGTCTCTATATAAAGATACCCATGATGTTTAAAGGTACATAGTTAAAATATACTTGTACCATTATCAGACAAACAATTGCTTACCCCAAATCAAAAAACAGTTTCTGATTTGTCCAAATATTTGTGGTCTATTTAATTCTGTGATCTATAGTCAGGCTGTAGTATAGCTTATTCCACCTTCACTCTGGTTTAATCCAAATGCACGCTTTTCAGCAGGCTGTGGAAAAACCTGATGCCATGCACTCACCTTGTTCCCTCCATCATGTTCCATAAAGCCAGATGAAATTAGAATTTCTAATGCAACATCATTAAAATAAAGAAATCTACAGTACACTATTCACAATAGCACACTGAATGATGCAGGCACGTACTGTAGGCGCGCAGAAAGACAACAGGAAAGACTTTTGAAGATGGTAACATCCTTTATTCTATAGTTTTGCAAAACTGATTTTGCGTTTTCACAGTATCTTCATCCAGAGTCAATCATTCACAGTACCCAGAAAGATCATTTTAAACACTCACAATCAGAAGCTCGACTTCAGGGATTAAGTGGAGAAGAGGATGCGTTTCCTAGTAACATGCTGTTTATATTCACATCATTTTCTAGACAGAGTTTTACAAGACAGGATGATTCAACAAAAAGAGATCCTGCACATTCTGCAAGACAATTGCCTTAACGCATAGGTAGGTAACACAACCAAGCTGTCACTATCAGCTGTGCCAGCTCATCGCAATAAAAAACCTGGGATTTATTTTAAATAATATCCAGAAAAATGAGCACCTGCACCTAATCTGTAAGCATGGCATTTTGCTAGCAGATCACAATCGCTTTCTTTTAAACCCTCTGGGGTTTTCGAAATGAGACAAACCCACACAAGGGGGCGCCCGCGCCACAGCTGAACACCAGGAGCACCAGTGCGTTCAGCACCACTCGCGCAGACCTCTTACCACCAGGAGGAGTGTGACATTGAGGATTTTTGCAAATCTGCTTTCCACCCCCAGCACATATTTTAATATATAATATAACATACCATATATTAAATATAACACTAAATGTACAAGTTATAACACTGTTAACAGAGTATATAATACAGCCTGTATAAAATCAGTATCATAAAGAGCTTTAACATGACTGAATTATTTTCAAATAAACTTGCTCATAAGGTTCCCATATTTTGTTTTGTGCTAGTTCTTCTTCCTTAGAGCTTTGTCTCCTTTCAGCTCTAACCCAGATCACCCCCACTCTGAGGAGTAACTCATGGGCAAGCCTGGTCCATTCCATTCACAGCTCCTTTCCCCCGCGCAGGCAAGTCAGGATGCCTTCTTAAGCAGTCGACCGCTATGTGACGCCTTTGGCTTACTGGGAACGTCTCGCACACGTCCTTGTGCTCCTCACCTCCCGGCCTCTTGATCCAGCCCGCCTGGCCGGAGTGGCGATTTCTCCTACAGGAGGATGCAGACGGCCGAGGGGTCGTGTCTCTCTGTGGCCGTGTTCCGCGCCCATCGCCTGGCGGGCTGGAACTCCTCCGAGCTCATGGCGGCGTAGCCCACGGCATCCACGGACCGCCGCTTCTGGACGCGGTGCAGGAGGATGCGGTAGATGCCGGTGATGGGGCTCCGCGAGCCGCCGCAGGCATTGTTCTGGAGATGGACCTCCGTGATGCCCAGGTCCCTCAGGGCGCGCTTGACCTCCTGCTCCTCAGGACTCAGGGGCTGGGCCTCGGCCAGGTGGGAAGGGGTGGCGTGGAAGGAGGCGTAGGGCTGGGGGAACTCGATGCCGCGGAGCCAGGCGCTGCCCATGATCTGGGCGATGGACGAGCGGTCAGCGGGCACAGGCCGGAGGATGGCCTTGATGACCTGCTGGCAGGGCTCGGAGACGTAGGAGGGGATGCCGTACGAGCCCTGCAGGATGCAACGCTTCAGCCGGCCCAAGTTCTCAGCGTAGAAGGGCATGGAGGCCGTGACCATGAAGTAGAGGAGGATGCCCAGTGCCCAGATGTCCACGTGCCGCCCCGTGTAACCCTTCTCCTTGAAGAGCTCGGGCGCGGCGTAGGGGGGCGAGCCACAGAACGTGTTGAGGATCTCATTAGGGCCGCTAATCGTGCTGAAGCCAAAGTCCCCAATCTTGATACAGTAACTGGTTGTGTAGAAAACGTTCTCCGCTTTCAGGTCCCTGTGGATAATGTTGTTGTCATGCTGAAAAAAGAAATGGCAGCGCTATTGGCAAAGGATAAGGTAATGATAAATTAGCCACTGCTTGTTTGCTCATGGAATAAGGAGAGGAAGAAATAATGGATGAGGATCAGGAAGAGAGGAATGTAAATTGCACTCCGACATTCTAATAAGGACTAGTAGAACATGAGCCTTGCTTAGCTCGCACAAAATAAGGTGCGCTGATAAACAAAGTGCTGCACTAGAGCTGTATCATGAACAGAAGAAGCTTCTGTCTCACCATGTGCTGGACGGCAGAGACGATCTGTGCGAACACAAGCTTGCTCTCCAGTTCGGACAGGCGCCCCCTGGTGCTGATTCGGGAGAAGAGCTCCCCTCCGCTGGCATACTCCATCACGAGGTGCAGCCTCTTCAAGGTCTCCAGCACCTCGTAGAGCCGGACGACGTTGGGGTGGGACAGTCTCTCCATGCAGGCGATCTCAGACACAAAGAGACTTTGGCACTTCTTGTCCAGCTTGGTCTTGTCCATGATCTTGATAGCAACTCTTTCTAAAGGACAGGGGTAAGAGGGAGAGGGAATCAATAGCTGTTTCCATCCATTCATCCATCCATCCATCCATCCATTTTCAAACCACTTCATCCGGTTCAGGTTAGAGGGGGAGCAAAAATCGGGGTACACCCTTGAAATACCAGTCTATCGATGGGCCACACACACTCACACCAGGGCTAATTTACCCCAGCAAGCAATGGGCACAAGACAGGGTACACGCTGGACGAGACGCCAGTCCATCGCAGCACCACACACACTTACATCAGGGCCAGTCTTCCCAGAATCCAATTAACCCACTGGCATGTCTTTGGGCTGTGGGAGGAAACGTCAGGTTTGTAGGCCCAGTAAACCCAGTGTTTTGCCCACCTTACCTTTGGTCAGCGCGTGGATTCCCAGCTTGACGTGGGAGAAGTTCCCGGTGCCGATTTCCCCGCGCAGCTCGTAGAAGCCGATCCGCCGCCCGAGCACGAGCTCGTTCACGACCCGCTCGTTGTGGGACATGTCGTAGACGACCTTCTCAAGCTGAGTGCGCCTCACTGGCTGCGCCTCCGGCTGGGGCCCCGCCTTGGGGGGGACGGCAACGGCGTGCTGCTCCTTCCCCACCTCCTCCTGCTCCAGCTGCCTGGGCCAGCGCCCTTCCGCGCGCCTCCACAGCGGAGAAACATCCCTGCACCTGGGCTGCACCCCGTCCCTGGCCTTGCTCCCTGAGCCACAGAGAAGAGCGTTACACCACAAGCAAACTCCTTTACTGGCTCTGCATGGTTGTAAACCCTGATAACAAGAGGCATGTCTTTACCCAAAGGGTGGTGGGAGAATGGAACAGGCTACCCAAATGTGTTGTTGAAGCCGAAAACCCTAGTTTCTTTCAAGAAACGGCTGGGTGTGATCCAGGGATCAATGCGTTACTACCAAACAAGCTCAAGTGGTTGAATGGCCTCCTCTCATTTGTAATTATTATTAATGTTCTTTCAGGCAAAACAAATCTGAAAAAAATACTTGAATCTGCATGGTTTTATAAGCTGTTGATCCGCTTAGTAAACATGTACACTGCTCTTAACATAAAATAAGTTTCGAGACATAACCTTTTGCCAGAAGGTAAAGTGTGTGGGACTTTTTTTTTTTTTGCTAAAGGGGAGACGTGGGCCAGATTGGCTCTGACAAAACATTTGGATAAACAAAGGGATGTTAAATGTCAGTAAATCAGAGTTAAGTTACCACGCATTCGCAGTATTTCTGTCGCACTTTCGTTTACTTTGACAAATCGTGTCACGGAACATTAAACTAGACTCTCAACTTAACTAGTCTGAATGTCCAATAATAACGGTATCAAAGTCCCGTCCACAGACAAGTCCACTATTCAGTCTCAGTGGAATGTCTCACAACAAACAGTTCCTGGAGACATTTGTTAAGTCACTGTCTTCAGTCCAGTCAGCCAATTTTTTTTTGAGTATTAACATGTTGCAGTGCACCACCACCCAAAACAAGTTATATAGTATTCATATGGATATCACTGAGGGCAGAACGAGAGAAACACAAATGCACAAGTAAAACAAAGAAAATTATACACTTTCACAAATATTAACATGCAGTATTACTATAGAAATGGCAAAAACATTAATGTTTGCCAATGCGTTGGAATTCCAGTACAACAACATTACAGGCTTTGACAATTGCATGAGCAGTGTATTAAAAGAGCAGCACCACTTCATCTCTGAGCACAGATCAGAGCCATACTCACAGAGGATCTTTCCCTTCACACTCCTCCCACTCTTTCTCCTGCTCAGATTTTGGTAGCTGGGGATCATTTTAGCCCGCCCTGTCCCTCTTCAGGTTCTTTACCCTCACACTTCGTACTCTGAGAAGTATTACACCAGACTCTTGAGCTTGCTGTCCAGATCACTGCAGGTCTCCCGTCCCAGGGCTCCTCCGGAGGAGATTTCACTGCTGGCAAGTCATCCTCAACACACAGCTTCCAACTCCTCTCCTGCACCCATCAGCGATGGCTCCCGAGGTCCTGCAAAGAGCTCTGCTGCAGGGCTGGAACCCAGAAAGCACTCGCAGGGAAATGTATTGGAACCGGACAGTGCTGCTCGCCTGGGTATCTAAGGTTGTGCCTCTCCAGCCAATCTGCTGTAGTACACATTAAGCGCCTGGGATCCTGCAATTTCAATCCATGTAATCCCCTTGGCAGACTGCATTCAGACAGGCTCAGCTGCAAGGAAGTGGCAGTTTCAGTGTTCAGACTGCAACCTCTGTCAAAATTACAGGTGCAGCCATGAGATTAACCTGGCGTCTTGCTTCAACTCAAAGACACTCAACTGGGTCGCCACTGCCCCCCCCGGCCTCCCCCCCCCGCTCCTTCACAGGGGTGGAGGTGGTGCTCTCAGCGGTAGAACACTTTACAGCAAAAAAAAAACATGCTGCAGATGATTGTGTATGGGTCTGCTCTACGCAACCCAGTTTGCACTGTGTGTTTCCTGGTTAACCTTTCATTATCAATTCATTCCATCTCCTTGGATCTTCAGGTCCTGTAGGCATGAGTGGCCACTGGATTTGATGCGACTCCCCAGGTTTTTTTTTGCTGGCAGACTTGCTTGGGCAGCTTCACAAGTGCCACCCAAAACAGGAAGGTTTTTGACCCGTGCCGAAAAACACACATTTTAAGACAGCCCATGAGCCAGCAACGAGATGACACACATTGACCTGTGTGTATCGGAGGATGCCACAGGGTTACAAGAAACGCAACCAATTACAATTTTCAGCCACGAATAAAACTGTCTAAGATGTGCATAAAACTCGGATCACAGCTACAACAGTGGTGATGTATCGCTGTTGTATTAAAGCTGTGGTACCTTGACGTCTATCAGGAAACGGCAGCATTATTTGGTTCAATTAGCTACTCGCAGACAAATGAGCGAGACAGACCTAATGCCTTTTTCTCATTTCCAGATTTGCACGGGCTAAAGGCTGGAACAAGCCAGGCAGCCCATCTGGTGCCAACCAAGACTGAAAATGAAACATATCACCTGCAGTAATGGACAACACACCATGCTCATTATTTGTCATGTGCATGTGCAGTTCCTTTTATATTTAATACTGGTTTTCCCCATGAAGGTCCACACTGTAACCAATGCTACTGGCATTTAATATGGTCAGATCAGACAGCAGCTTTCCACTGATTAACAGGCTTTCCCTTTCAGCAGACTCGACACTCTTGGCTGAGATTATGTCAGATGTCCAGGGAGGAATTTATATAGGTGACCTTCCCAGTATCAGCGGATTTGAGTCATTCCGAGCCCACCACACAGACTGAATTAAAAAAAAAAGGCAGGCATGTCGTGGAAAATGCTATAGTACAGGCATTTTTTTCCATCCGACTACTTGGTCTTGCACGTAACTGGTCAACATTCCTGATGTTCAGAAGCAGACCGCACAGACAGACACTGTGCAAGTCTGAACATGCAATACTCAGGAGACTCAAGGTAAAGAAAGCACTTCTGTTGTGGCTCTGTGTAACTGGCATAGAAGTGGTTAAACTACAATCCACTGCAATTCTGTTAAGAGGTTGTGCTTGAATGTGAATTACAAAAAGACAGAGAGAGAGCAGGACTGATAATTAGCTGAGTGGGTGGATTTATTGTAAGATGTGTGCAACAAACTCAGCTAATACAATCTTTACTAATCTCTTTGCCACAGTGTACACAGCTGCCTGAAATGACTCCGGTATGCAGATCATCCTGAGAACTGGAGCATTTGAAAAAATAAGTTATCAACCAAATATTAAAAAACTGCTATTTCTCCTGAAATGTCCAGATCACGTTTACACAGCTTGAGAAACTTCAGCCTCACAAATCGTTTAAAAAAAGTAACGCATCATTTTTCTTTTCCTCAAAGACCAATCGGGAGTACAGGAGCAAACCCATTTGCTTCTTTCTTGTGGCAGTGGTGTGGTGGCCCTGGGTTCGATTCCAGCCAGAAGCTGCTGTCTAGAGGCAGTCTGCATGTGAGGATGGAACAGAGAAACACTGTTGCAGCAGGGTGGTCCAGTTTCCCCCCCATCTTATAAATGCAGAATGAAATGTTTGACCGGCTAGGCTAAATTGCCTTCCTGGGACTTCTCCTCCATAGTGAAAATATCTGGTCTCCGACCTCATTACTCATAATCGTGTATGGAACCACATTTGTATCTCACTTTTCTCATTCCTTCGTGGGTTAATGGAACGAGACAGACAGACTTTTCCCGAGATGCCTTACTTACCAAATCTGCATCTTGTACAATATTTCTATCAAGCTTCTCCTGCACCACCTTGGTCTTTCACTCTATGTTTTGAGGGAATTTGTCCCTCAAGTCCTCAGCCTGGTTGGCTTTGTTGGCGAGGATAAATGGAAGTTATTAACTGGCGTTCGGGAGGGATAACAAGTCAGTCTCACACAGCTCTGCCTAATCACCATCACCACCAATCTAGCGAAATAAACTGAACTCAAACATCTCTCTTCTCATTTGTCTCCAGCATCCCTCCCCCACCAATCTCCACCGTGCAGCTGGCCCTTGGTTCACTCTGTCTGAATTGGGCTCGAGCCTCCTCGTCCTGTGGCCAGGAGGCTGCCCATTAACCAAGCAGGTTAAACCAAACCTGTCTCATCAAGTTTTCCAAGTATTCAACCCTCAAATGTTGTTGTCCCTAGTGAACTCCTGGTTGTGACTGGCTTACTCACTATAGTCAATGTAACTACAACTGACCCCCTGCATCAGATCCCAGCAGAGGCCTTATTTCAGGAATCAAGTGGACCACAGAGTTCCTGTCCTTTCACCGTGCTGACTAATTTTATTTCTTTCCATTGCAGCTGATGACATTGTACGTCAGGATTAGAGACTTGTAATAAGCCCAAGGAAATGAAAGCAAGCTGAGGTCGATAGCCAATAAGTATCTGAGACGTGAAACCACAGGGAAGTCGTTGAGACATTTTTGGTATGAAATAGAATATTACACATTAACGCCCTCTGATTTGATTATTAGTTATTTTAACTCAAGATAGCGAAACAGATCTACATGATGGTATCCTATTCTGGATAGCAGTCTAGCAGTTGTCAGCTGTGTTGTCAAACAGAATAATCATACAATTCCACAGTCAGTTGCATAAAATAATAGTCAAAGTAATAAAGAAATATTCAACGCTCGTCTTGTAAGTTACACAGGAAACAATTGATTCAATCAATTCATTAAGAGCTCAAGTGGAATAAAAACCAGCTGAACCTATAGCCTCAAAGACCAAGAGCGATTGCCTGCTTCACAGTGGAAATGAAACGGTGCAAAAGCGCAGCAGTCACACATTTATTAAAGACGTTCCTTACCTGTTCGCTGCGGGTCTTTCATTTCTGTTCGCACAGTCGCTGCAGCGAGTAAAATGAGCTTTGCTTTATGGGCAATCAATGCTATAAAGAGCAACACTAAAGCCTTGTGGTTTTCACTACCTCTACTTAATCCGATTAGCAGCATGTGCGTAATAATAACCTTTATCCGAGTACTAAGGCTGAGCATAAAAAGAACAGCATCCAACCCGTGCGATACTTCAAATTTCCACTGGGAACCAAAATCCTTCTATTTTGATGAGAGAGAAAGACACCACTTTAAATATAAGAACTAAGCAAAGATCTTGCACGATGGGTTTCTCGGAGTGGATGAGAGAAGGAAGAGCAATTCAAGAGTTTTAGGATTTCCACCTTTAAATTCCGTTTTGTTTAAAGTGCTTTCAAAAATTATATGAATAACCATTTCTTCTTATCTGGGTCAAAGGGGTTAAACACCTATAGCAGCACAATTCAAATAGTCCATGCAGTGGAAGTTTGTAAATATGCAGAGGAAGTGAATTATCGCCTTCACGAATTGTTCTTAAATCCACCAAGACAGTACGCTCTTATGTTTTTTTTTTCTCGTGATTTATGACTTTTGCAGTAAAATATCAAAGTGAATCTCAGAAGTCCCTTTTTAATACTTCATTTATTGTGAACTTAAAATATTACAGGACAATACAAGTTTTTTTTTTTTCATTTAAATGCTTTGAGCTGGCTCAGAGATTAGAACTTCTTTAAATGAACACTATTCTCTCAGTCCTCCTCCGGGATTAGTGTATGGACAGGGGATAGGTGCGGAAAACTACAGTCTCACGTGTCCTACGTAGAGCGTACGTCAGGCGGGGCTTTCCCTGGCGGGAGAGGGAAAGGCGTAACTCCGAATTCGCAAACACTTACGCTGTATTCGTAAGGCACTCTCCACGCTCAGGCCGGGGGCTTGCGCGACATCTGCGTAGTTTGCGGCACTTTCACCTCGAGTCGCGGGGGGTTCTGCTGTAGTTCCCGGGCAGTGAGGATGGCGGCGGCGGCGGCGGCCGTCGCGGTGTCGGCAGCCCCTGCCGAATCAGAGCCGGACCGGAGTGGTGCTGAGGAGGAGGCCCGAGAAGGCGTCCCGGAGGAGGAGGACGGCGGCGGCGGCCAGCCGGCTGGGAACGGAGGCGCCGCGGCGCAGACCCGCCTGGCCAAGCTGCCGCTGTCCCGGATCAAGGCGCTGATGAAGGCTGACCCAGACGTCACGCTGGCGAGCCAGGAGTCCGTGTTCATCATCGCCAAAGCGACGGTAAGCTGGCATCGCATGGCTCAAACTTTAAAAGCGCACCTCGCCGTATAGTTACAATGTAGTGGCGATAACCGTACACGTCCCTGTCTTCGCACTGGAGAATGATGTGGCTCCGCAATAGGCCGAGGAGTAAATTGACTCATGTCAGGTGGGTCTCATTTAGATGGCATTTTCAGCCTTCAGCTCCTCAGCCTTGATACAAGCTGAGCGTGGGCAGAAAGCTGATGTCCCTGTGATTAGAGTCTAACGAGGACACTGCAGCGGCTGGCGTGTGGATCAAATCCTTTGCAAAGTTGGTACCGGCGCTTTTTAATGCCAGACGCTTGAAAAAAAAAAGAAACATTGAGATGTGCCCCGTAGTGCAGCTGCGGCCTTTTTTTTCCTCGGCTGACGAATCGGCGTTGTCTTTCGTGACAGGAGCTGTTCGTGGAAATGATAGCGAGAGACGCGCTCGTTTACGCCCAGCAGGGCAAGAGAAAAACCTTGCAGAGGAAAGACCTGGGTGAGAACGCATTCCGCCTCTTCTGAATGTCCACTCTGGTATACAACTATCAGAGCGGTAACCCCAATAAAACTGCTGTATGCAGGAGCAGGATATCTTGCCATTCAAGGAATAATCGGGTCACACCCTGCTTGTAACTTGTGAATCTTAACTCTTATTTTGTTTTAATCCCCCAGATAATGCCATTGAAGCAATAGATGAGTTTGCCTTCCTTGAAGGTATGTTGTTTTTTTCTTCCTTGAAATATGCATGCTATGACCTGCCATGGACAACCTGTACGAAAATTGTTTAGATCAAGGAACTAAAAATAAATAAATGTGATTTTTCCAATCCAAAAATGTATTTGGTAAATGTCTCTATGTTCTATTCCTGTTTAGGATTTAAGTTTTATTTTATTGGTAATGTCTAACATAAAAGACTTGTGATCAGTAATTTGTAGCGTTTGAATTCGCTGCCAGTGTAGTTCTTGTTCATCATCAACTCTCCTCTTGTGCCTCTCCTGTATATTTTTCAGGCACTTTAGACTGAAGTGTATCCTCAGCAGATGTCATCTACCAACATTTCAAGAACCAGAAAATATAAGTGAATTGGAAGGAGTATAAAGAATGTATAACATAAGCTTCTACAGTTCATTCCTGGTCACTGGACTTGTGTATGTCAGGAAAATACTGTCAGTGAGGTAATACATCACACGACTAAGCTCAAAAAGATGGTAAAAGACTTGTCTGGTATTCATTTTGAAAAGTCAGTGAACATTGATCAATAATATAATATATTAAACAACTGTTACTCCCTATGAAAGATACTCTTAAATAAGTCACTTGCATTTTGCTGTAGGATGTACTTTATACTGTAAATATTTTCAACATTTCTGTAAATGTAAGTTTCTAATAAATGTATTTTCCACATGACTGCATCCCCATTATTAAATTACATTTGTGCGACCTTGTTCATGAAGATGTAATTTTGGGTTTGAATTTTTATGACAAAATGAAATTCGGAAAGTATTTGAAAAGCGATGGAATTCAAACACATTCTGAATGAACCCCAGGAATCGGGAGATGTCTTTCTGAAATACAAGAAAGACCACGAAGGCTGATAACCACACCACCCTCTGACAGATTAATGTGATCAGAGAGAAAGAATCAGCCAGTTCTGTTCTAGCAGTTTTGGTTTCCCGGATCACTATTAATTTGTAGAAGCAAATGCATACTTGACAACGGGCTAAGTACTGCAAATTGAGTATTTGAGCCCATTTAAATTTCCAAGCCAACCTTAAAACTTTTGGGAGGCCTGCAGACTAACAATAAGTGGCATCAACAGGCTGTGCTAGCAGAAGACATGCCTTTTGGAACTCGCTGGTAGCATGCCTGCCTGCTTGTATTAGCAATGCCCTGTACAGTATGTTCCTGTAATGTGCCCTCATGAGTATTCTCCACTTAGAATGGGGTCTTTTACATGTGTGTAAACTCCTCCGTTCTTCACCATTATTGCACACAGAGAGGACCTTACAGAGACGGGCCTTCTGGAAATGAAGGGTGCCTAGCAAAGGTTTGGTCTTCCCGTCTTCATCCTTTCAGTTCTTCCTTTAATGTACAGGAAGTAGAAGATGTCAGGATGGGGTGTTTGCAAACTCTTCTGCTTGCCGTCTTTATCCAGACTGCTCTGTCTCGGGGCACAGACGGGGACTGGCTAGAATTCGGGAGGTGGCGGTCTTTCAGGTGGCCAAAATGAGTGCTTCCCGAAGGTACTTCGGTAAATGAGTGCAGCCGGAGGTACTGCTGTCCTTGGAGCTTCCTGCACTCCGGCCTCTGCTTGGAATCGGTGTCACCTTGGGGTCAGGGTCTGGGCATTCCTACGGCTCTCCTCTCTTCCCTCCGGAATTCTCTGTCCTGCAAAGGAAGGAATGTTGTAAGACAGCCTTTCAACTTAGATGGATAAGACGGAGAGCACAACACGATCAGATGGATTTCTGCGCTTGAGAGCTTTGGCAAGCAACATACAAAAATACTGAATTAGCATGCTTTCCCTTGGGCGAAAAAAAACTTTGCTGATGTTTTTTTTTTTTTAATCCACTGCCCACTGTTTCAGCCAATCCTAAACCAGCAGGAAGTGTGGGGAGCTGTCAGTCACAAGCACACCCCAGAAATGGACAGTACCAGGGATTCATTAGATCAGGCAATATTATGTCATTAGACTTTATTGCCTTTTGTTAAAGTGATTACAGTTGATATGTCAGATCATATAACCGGTTTCAGTGTTAAAGGTCTAAACGTGCTATAAATATTTAATACCCAGTATGGATAAGTGGCTTAGGCTGGAACATCATGTAGCCTGCGGGTTGATCAAGATAATATCTAGAAACTTGAATGGTTCATTAGATCTTAAATACAATCCAAAAGAAATGTACAAGAAAAATTGAGAAAGAAAGCAATCACAGATGTAAATGCATTACAAATACAGGGTTTTACATACAAAGCACTTAGGTGCTTAAACCCCAGGGGATTTTAATCCCTACACTCACATGCATACAATATGTGCCAAAGATGTGTAAACACTGGCCTATGGTGTTTTGGAAATGCTGGAAACCACTGGGAGTAGAATAATGTTCAAATGCTTTCCTCGATGGCTTTTGTCAGCTGAGCTGACATTAACTGCTGAGCTATAGGATTTTACCATTTTAAAAAGCTTACCTTCAGGACCATAGAATGGAGATTTTAATGAACATCTAGAATGAAGCTTACTCAGTTAATTACAATTACTGGTATCAAGGTTCTGAGCCAACTACTTGTACAGCTGTCATTAGCTAGTGAAAGTTAGTTGAACTGGCAAGGGCAGCCTAGCTGAGTGTTAAAGACTGGTGTTCAATGTGCCCTTACTCACCAATTGTGTTACAACGCAAATAGAGCAGAAGTAGAGAATCAGCTGAAAGAAATACACTGATGTTGTGCATAAGGTACAACAACACCATAAACACATTAAACATTTAAACTGGCTTAAAAAAATTCATTTGCTTTAAAGTAAATCCTACTGTTTAAAGATATTAAATTGTGCATTTCTGTGTTTGTGTTTAATTTCAGATGTTTTTTTTATGTAAACCTGACAAGTGTTGAAAAGCAGTAACAGCCCTAATATAAGAGGTAACACTGGGTGGCGCAGTGGCACAGAGATTAACATTGCTTCCCTGCAGTGCTGGGGTACTGGGTTCAATTCCAGACCTGAGGTGCCATCTGCGGAGAGCTTGTATGCCCTCCCCATGTTCCTTTGGATGCTCTGGTTTCCTCCCACAGTCCAAACACATACTGGGAGGTCGATTGGTTACTGAGAAAACTGGCCCTGATGTACAGTATGAGCCCTGCAAAGTCCTGGCATCACTTTCCAGGGTATATCCTACCATGTGGCATTGCTTGCTGGGATAGGTTCCATCTCCACTGTGAGCCTGAACTGGAAGAAGTGGTTAGAAAATGGAAAGATGGACGTTTATGTGATGGCTGTAAGCGGTACACTGGGACTGAAGCTGGAAACAGTTGGACTGGAAGATGATCCATAAATCTTGCCCTACACTTACCAAACTCCATACAGATAGGTGTCTGGTATTGAACCTAGGGCCCCAGTGCTGCAGGGCAGCAATGCTATCCACTGCTCTACTGAGCCACCCCTTATATACTGCATTGTATTATATTATGTTATATTATTGTCTTGCACCAGGTTATCCTTTGGTTAAGCTGGCTATCCATTTGATCCATCTCTCTGCGCATCAGTGCATGTGTTTACTGCCAATATATTATTCTGCGAACTAAAATGTCAAGAAAAGACAAAGTATTAAAGCCAAATTCAACGCAAGGGCACGAATGCACAGCTCCCTATTTTAAGCCTCTTTGTGCTTTCCAACTGAAGCAAGAACAAAAGCTGTCAAATTCTCCTGTGGAGGGACAGAGGATGAGAGAGAATGTCAGCTTGATTACCCTTTTGAGAGCTCTTTGTGCGCAAAGTTGATAGGTCTGCATTATTAGATTAAACACGTTTCATGTATAAATTGTAGAGTTCTTCAAGGAATGGGCTGCAAGCCAACACTGATGTTCCTAATGCAGTTTTGGAGCGCTCCTGCTCCATTGCTAAGCAACGTGATGTTCAGCGCACTTAATTGCCATGCTAGTAATTGCTCTGTAAATTGCAGCTATTCGTTTCTTTAAGCCAAGCTACTGGTGTTTTAAATGCAGCCTCCCTTTGCTCTGCAGTATACTTTTAAAGTGGAGGAACAGACCTTTGCAGGAGGCATGTCTATGATTTCAGCACTTGAAAAGGCTGTACATATTAACGGATGTATTGCCTTTGCCAAAACAATTATTGTACAGCTTAACACTCAATATACAACGCTGAATATAGCTTGCAGTCTGAATATAGCCAGCAGCCATATCACCCTGCAACTCACAACTGGCAACCCACTGAAGCTAAGCAGGTGTGAGCCTGGTCAGTACCTGGATGGGAGACCTCTGGGGAAAAACGAAGGTTGCTGCTGGAAGAGGCGTTAGGGGGGCCAGCAGGGGGCGCTCACCCTGCGGCTCATGTGGGTCCTAATACCCCAGTGTAGTGACGGGGACACTATACTGTAAACAGGCGCTGTCCTTCGGATGAGACGTAAAACCGAGGTCTTGACTCTCTGTGGTCATTAAAAATCCCAGGGTGTTTCTCGAAAAGAGTAGGGGTGTAACCCCGGCATCCTGGCCAAATTTCCCCATCGGCTGTTATCAATCATGGCCTCCTAACAATCCCCCTCTGTGAATTGGCTTCATTACTCTGCTCTCCTCCCCACTGATAGCTGATGTGTGGTGAGCGTTCTGGCGCACTATGGCTGCCGTCGCATCATCCAGGTGGATGCTGCATATTGGTGGTGGTGGAGGGGAGTCCCCATTACCTGTAAAAGAGCTTTGAGTGGAGTGTCCAGAAAAAGCGCTATATAAGTGTAAGCAATTATTATTATTATTATTTTTATTATTATTATTATAGATGCATGTACAACCTGTATTACAGTGGATCACAGACCAAACCTCCAAGACTATCGTGGAGTCTCTCGGAATTACATAGTAATCTCCAGGATAGGAGCAGGAGCAATCTGGAAACATTTGGCAAAGTACCTGGAACACAGGTTATACAAGGAGTTTCCCCGCATCTTAAACAGCATTTCCCTTTCCTATGCGCCAAAATGTTTGCTTTCCAATTTTATATATGACCATTAATAACTTATAATCACGCACAACCTCTCTGTGTCATTCAGTCATTCTTTTAAGACAACTTACTTGTTAAAAGAGGAGGTATCTGGTTTTGTAGAAATGGTTTTCTGGGACATGGAAATGTCTGTGCATCTCTTAAATACACACCAAGAAAGCCTTCTGGTGCCATCCCGAATTACCTCCGATATCAATTTTTATCACAAAAGAATTTCTTACCAAAGAATTCCAGGCATTTTAATATTGTTTAAGGTTTACGTAACCATTGAAAAACTTTGCTGTCTGCTGCAGTCTAATGACATAGACTTTGGGTATTTCCTCTTATTTTTTTCCCCAATGTCTTTAATATTATCTTAAGCTACCAGTTCTTTTAAATATATTATTATACTCCATTCTCCTGTTCATTTTGATGCTTGTTCTGTCTTCTTCTGCTGCCAAACATAGCCAGGCTCATTGGCGCCAGTCTGTCAGAAGTTTAGATCTTAACAGTCTTAAAATGATAAAAGTTAAACTTTCATGACCACGCAATGGGATGCATGTCATTTTTCATAAACAGCTTTATATTCAAAAGATGAGTCATGCCTTGTTCGTAAGCATCATTTATGAATCACTACAACTACGAATTCTGTTGTTTCAAGGATGGCTTGATGTGTCCCTAAGCAATGACATCAGCTTGTCACAAAAATCTTGAACTGGCTTAAAAAGAAATCTAGTTCAGGTCTCCTGCTGCAGGTGATGGTTTAATACTGAAAGACCTTCTCTAAAGCATTTTTACTGATGTAGCCCTGTTGCATCTTCCCACAAAAACCATGCATAATGTTCCCTTTATTTGATTGACTGCCATTGTTTGAGCCCAGAAAAAGCATTTGAAGCCTCTCTCAAACACACTCTTTCAATTATTGATCTGCGTTGGGAACTGTGATTGAGAACCCTGGTGAATGACAAAAACAACTTCAAGAGGGGGATTTGCTCAACTTTTTCCAAACATTAAAAGTAATCATAAAAAAATGTAAATTATAAGCCCTTTATAAGGATGCCAAGAATGGTAAAACCTGTAAAATATTATCCCTCAGCATTTAGGAGATCATAGGCATGAAATGTTGTCTGTACATCGCAAGCCTCTGATCTACTTGCAGAAACCCAGTTCAAAGTTGCAAGAGGGTCAAATAGCAAATAGCAGGAACATCCCAAAGGTCAGTGGAAGTGCTTTTGCAAATTTCATATGAAAAAAACACAGGCTTGATTACAGAATTGTAGAAGATGAAAAGGGATTTTTGTGCCTTTGTGATTACAGTGTCGCGAGACCAATGCCTTCAAAAGAGGTGTAGCTTCATTAATCCATGTATCATCTGGGAATTGACAAGTGTTTTTAAATTCCTGCCAGAAATTCCGTTAGGATCGCAAAAGGATGGTAGGCAGAACAGACAGGATAGAGCAGAGAATAGCAGAGGAGACAGAGACCAAAGAGAAAGATCTGTCTGCTCAAAGAAGGATTTCTAATGAAGTTAGTAGTTGGCTACAGACAACTATAGCATGAGAACATCACCATGGAGCAAAGAAGTTTAGGATACACTGTATATAAATGAGCCCTAAACAACAATGCTTCCAAGAGCAATATCTGTATGCACCACAGGGCACTAATTTCACTAGTATGAACCAGAGGGCATTTAGAGCACTACTATGCTACAGTGTAACTTTACCAGTATATCTGGGGCTGTTTGCACCAACAGAATACAGTCTTAAATCAATCTCTATTCAGGCTCAGAGCTTGATCTGCTCTTACACTATACAATACACACATTGTAGTTTGCTCTGTTCTGAAAGTAATTACATCTTCCCTCTCCCTGTATGCCACAGCTGACATGTCTTACTCATGAGCTGATTGTCCAACATGTTCTTTTACAATCCTGAAATGCGAACACAACACAACTCTGGATTTCCTTAGTTACAGTACCTCTGTCCTTAGCAGAAAATCGGAAAATTGGATCCAAAAAAACTCACAGATTTGTGGAAGCCAAATCTGATCTGTTTTGTACAGAGCTTTTTTTTCCTGTGGTCTCTTATTTTTTGCCCCTTCTGTATGTCTGCCCTGTGATGGACAGGCATCCCATCCAGGGTGTATCCTGCCTTGCGCCTCTTGCATGCTGGGATTAGCTCTGGCCCCCCTGCGGCCATGTACTGGAAAGAGCTATTTACTAACTAAATGGATCAATGGAGAAATAACACCCGAATACAGTTTATATCAGTGGATTGTGACAGCTTATATCACCACGGTCCACAAGGGGCAGGCAGCACCAGAGTGATGAGCTCATCTGCCAATGTCCATGTGAAGAGCAAATCCAATGGGCTCTGCTGTGTAAGAAGGCCTGTGCATGAATGAGGTTCATCAGTCTGTTCTTGCACAGCTAAAGGCGTCCAGGTGCAGAAGGACATCCAGTGGCCCTGCAATAGACCGGTGTCCCACCCAGGGTGTATCCTGCCTCGCGCCTGTTGTTTGCCAGGATGGACTCCAGCTACCCATAAATTGGAAGAAGCAGTTAGAAAATGGATGGATGTATTATCCTATTAATACGCTCAGCCTGTGCTGACATGTCACCCTCTGGCACGACCAGGTGTCACCCATGGGACAGTACTCCCTTACCATGGTCTGTGCATGTGTGCCAGACTTCAGTGCTCATGGTTTTCAAGGTGCAGCTGTTAGAATAAGGCAGCTAACTTCCCTAGCATAACCTACGTGCAAAACAAGCCTGTACAGAGGTTATTTTTTTGTGCAAGCTTAACACGGGTCTCTTAATAACCTCACAAGATATGTGGGAAATGTGTTTGGCAGTCTGAACTGCTTTCAGTCACGAGAAAAGTATGTTTTTGCAGCTGCCATATTGTGACCCACTTTCTTAAAGGATGGATTCTTGCACGCTTTCTCACTCATATGCTTGCTGTTTAAGCTGTTTTGATCTGTCTCAGGTGTATCTGGAGAGCCTGTAAGAGGGCAGATCATGTAACTGACAGGTACAGAAGAAAGTGCTACCCACAACCAGCTGGGAAAAGCCAAATGTTTGTTTTTAATATAAAAACATCCACACGACTACGGCGCCTTTCCACAATGTCTCTGTTCGGCATCAGGAAGCATTTATTAAATATAGCCCTGTCTAAATCCCCAAGTCGCTTTTCCAAAACATGCCAATCAGTAAAACAAAGAACACTGGCCTTAGGTTTGTGCATCTGTATTGTTTTCTGCATGGCAAATGAACTTATAACTTTGCAACTTTATGCAAAACATTAATATTCTTGTAGAATATAAACATTCACAAAATATGTAAAAATGTTCAAAATGTAAAGCATATATTTACAAGAGAATAACTGACAGGATTTAATAGATTTCATAAGTATTTCATATATAATAAAGCACATCACCATGGATGGCATAAACTGCATGTTTGTAAATTAAAATATATCTCACTACTATTCCACATGGTCATGGAGTGTGATCTCAAGGGGAACATTCCATTGAAGAGGATATGGAGATCAGACACAGTTTAGTTTAGTTTGCTCAAAGTCGAGATTGCTTTTAAATTGGTAGATTTGAGGGTTGCTAAATAATGCATAAAGGTTACCAGGACACAAAGAAAATAACTGCAGAACATGAAATATCATCGGAGTGAGCAATTAGGGATTTGTGGTGTTATCTGAAAACATTTGAAGATTTTGGATTTCTTCCAAACTAGGGCTTTTTGATTAGGTACCGGCATGATTAGACAAGGAAAATCTAATCCTTTAATCGTAAAAGTGCTCAAAGGGTAGCCTCAAAACCATGGAGAGCTTCAAATGCATTTTAATGACCACCTCACTCCCCCCCTCAAACTCAGTTCTGTTCTCAGAGGGTACCCTTCACTGTCACACAAAGCCATTTACATGTCTCTGGACGCAGAACTGGGGTTTCATTCAGTGCCCTGTAACGATACCCTTGTCTGCTTTTTAATTTTATAAGAAAGAGCTAGATATTGAAATCACAATCCACTTAGAGCTGCTCAACACAAGGACTGACGAGCTGATTAGCAGCTACACTTGTCTGTCTCACACAAAAACACAGCAGAGACACTGTCGCTGTTCTCATTTCCATGGGTTGCAGTCAAGAGGCAGTCCAGACACCTGGATGACACAGTCAGGAATTAATATCCTCTCTAATATCCTGAAGACACAGGAGTTCTTTAGATCTTTATAAGTGTGTTGGTTTAGGTATGAATGTCACCCCTGTTACTATAAATGAATGGGATTATTTTTATTATTAAAGTTCTGCTAATTCGTAGTCTAATAATACTGCAAAACTGATTTAGTAAATTCCATGCAATCTGTATGCTTGCATTTTTTTTCCTCCTACTTTGCCATTTTACTGTTATTAATAATATTAATATCCAACATAGTAGAATGGTCCAATTCTACTATGTTCTGCCTAAAACACCCATGGCATACATATCATCACATGACCATCTGTGTGAGGCCAAACACAAAAACAACCCTGCAATTACCTTTATTTTGGGGCTTGGTATTGCATTAAGCATTATCTTAATGCCAACACTCTTGGTTCTGGTCCGTCACAATGCCGCACAATGCCAAGTCCGTCACAATGCCGCACACAGGCACAGAAATGCACACACTTACACCAGGGTCAGTTTTCCCAGAAGCCAATTCATCTACCCGTGTGTCTTTGGACTGTGGGAGGAAACTGGATCACCCGGAGGAAACCCACACAGACACAGCGGGAACCCCAGAACGCAGATAGTACCCCAGGATCAGAATCAAACCCAGGATCCCAGAACCACAAGGCAGCAGTGTTTACCAATGCCCCACCGTGTCGCACATTACATTACATTTTACAGACCCGTTAAAATCTCTTTAAAAAAAACTTTTATCAGATGAAAATGAGACGATGACATCTAATGAGCCAAATTACTGGTCCAATTCAATTACCGCAGCTAACCGAGAGCTCAGCTGGATTGAAAACCAGCAGACTGGAGGTCATGAGCTCCAAGACTGAGAATTTTGGATTCATGAGACATAATCGAAAACCACATTGGAAGAAAAACAAGGTCTAAGGTCACTCACACAGCACACAACAGAACAGATCTGGAATAACAGGGAAAACAATTAGATTATACTGTATATATTAGCCCTTGGAGCTGGCAATTATACTGTTAATTGATAGCACTTACACTTCAAATTTAAGGGTCATTAATATCAGATGCTGGAAGCTCCTGATAACTTTAGGCCTTTTGCGAATGCTTAAATACAACTGACTGGCTCCTATTCTATTTCCTAACTTAAGACACAAACCGCCAACGACTGGCAGGACAACCAAAACGGCACTACTTTTCAGAAACGCCTCCAACAAAACCTGCTCTGCCTCAGCACACAATTTCACCAAGGGTGACAGCAACAAGCGAAGCAGGGACAACATCCCAGGACATGTGACGTGAGTGCATTGCAGTGCAGAGAGAAGGAGGCGTTTCAGACGTCTATCAGCAGTGTTTGCTAGTTTTTCTTGAATTTTTTTTTAAAATGCCTGGAGTTATAGACATTCCCTATTAGCTCTCCAATCTGGATCAAAGACTCCCAGGCACAGTAGCGTCTCTACAATTGATGCATACTTGACAAGAAAGTTACTGCAGGGATCCAAAAGCATTTTTTAGTAGGACACACCTCACTAGTGATTGAGCTCCCCTTTGTTTCCTGTGGGCTGCCGTAAAGGTGACTCACTTATTAGGTTCTATAAGAAGCACTTTAGAGCAAGGAGGAGGAACGACAGAGTCTGCAAGGGAAGCAGGGCACGAAACACAGCCAGACAGCAGAAGACCGTCAGCGAGGGACAGGGAGAGAGAGAGAGCGAGAGGCAGAGAAATCAAGGAGAGAAAATAAAAACCCACAGAGGACTCATCCTCCCTCCCACCATGTTTCTGCGGACCTCTGCGGCGTTGCTGGTGACCGCCTTCTTCCTCGTGGGTCTGGAAGGTAAGACGAATCTCATCGCTAGGGGCTTTGCTGCTAATGCCATTGTCTCCAGCCTTCCTGCATTCGAAGGGGGCACAGCGTGATTCCGCACAGGAGCCGGGCTGCTCAAGAAAGCAGACGGCTGCCAGGTTTAAAGACGCAGGTAGCAGAGCAGAGCGAAGCTTGGATGCAGTGTGCCCAGACCAAACAGCAACAGGCAGAGCTAGACGTGAAGAAGTAACTTGAAAGGGTGGGCTAATCTGAGAGAAAGAACTGAAAAAGTGAAAGGAGGCAGTATACACAATGAATCTGGATAAGGACATACAGAAAGCAAAACGAAATGGCAACAGAAAACACCTACTGGACCAAAAAAACATTTCCATATATTTCACAAATCATTAAGCTTTATTAAAATATGTCTAGCCGCTGGAAAGTCTGCCAGGGATTGCAGATGACAACCAGGAGTGAATTGCTATATTGCAAAATCAAAGTCACAAAATGAATATTCAATTCTCTGTGGGCACAAAAAAGAAAACATGCCACAGAGAGCCTTAAAGGAAAAGCTCTCGGTGAAAATTGGTGCACATTCACTCTGTGCAATTGATGCTTCGCAACCGAAATTGTTCACCTTCCTCTTCCGAACTGCCAGTCCGGCACTCATCAGCAGTGTCCAGTTTGTAAAGAGCAAGTTGGGGAAGATCAGCAGCATGGGTTGTGCTTGATACCTGATAATTTCGACATTAGAGTCAGACACTGCCCATCAAATTCCATATTCTGCATCCTAAATGTTTAAATAACATTAATCAAATATTAGATTCCAAGAATTATTCACAGATTTGTTTGCACTATTTAAATAATAAGTACAGTCTTTACAGGGGCCTTTTACTCAAGTGCAATAAAGGGTGTTAATGCTATAGACCTATTTATGCTAATTAGTCATTTAGTATCCATTTTTTCCTGCAGCTATACAGAGTATGTTAGAGACTATGTTTGTACTAGTCTAAGTAAGTCCAATCCTGTATGTTCATAAGCATAGTGTGACAATAATATTAGGAACAAATGTAACATACCGTACACTCTGACAAGTTGCTAGAACTTGGAAAATAAACTCTTGGAAGTAAAATTATCAATACAAGTAATGTGTATTGTAGGTACCTTTCCTTGTTATCGAAATAATATTTTTATGACGGGTTAGGGATAGTTTTGAAACGTTTACAGTTTGACAATAATCATCAGTCTGTTTAACAACCAAGTTTGAATTTATCACTTAAAAGGCTATGTAACTCATGTATTGCATTGATACACCATATGCCTTTGATAGGTTTGAAAATGGACATATTTAGTAAAAATATAATACAAAATTCTGAGGATGCTATGCTGATTGTTGCAATAATAGAATCAAGAGTAGATAATAGCACTACACAAGAGCTTGAGAAACAACAAAGGGTGACACAGTGCTAGACCCCTGGGTGCTATCTATGTGGAGTATGTATGCTCTCCCCATGTTCACATGAGTTTCCTCCGTGTGCTCCGGTTTCCTCCCACAATCTCAAGACATACAGGTGGGAGAATCTGGGAAAACTGGCCCTGGTGTGCGATTTGTGGCCCTGACATGGACTGGCGTCCGGTCCAGGGGTGGATCCTGCTTTGCGCCTGCTGCATGCTGGGATAGGCTCCGGCTGCTCTGCGATCCCATACTGGAAAAAGCTATTTACTAACTAAATTGTCCAACATCCCCATACAGTTTATATCAGTGGATTGTGACAGCTTATATCACCACCGTCCACAAGGGGCAGGCAGCACCAGAGTGATGAGCTCATCTGCCAATGGCCTTGTGAAGAGCAAATCCAATGGGCTCTGCTGTGTAAGAAGGCCTGTGCGTGAATGAGGTTCATCAGCCTGGTCTTTCGCTTGCACAGCTAAAGGCGTCCAGATGCAGAAGGACATCCAGTGCTGTATGCAGTACTCCGGTGGGAAAGTCCGAGCCAAGGACGTGGTGAGGTTCGAGGTCCAGACAGAAGGGCCAGACTGCAGCATACAAGCTATCATGCAAGTATTTGTCTAGTTATAAGAAAGGCTAGAAAGCATGCAGTATGCAGGAGCATCATCTTGCATCATTCATCAACCTCCTTTTTTACACTCTCGACTAACTTTGAGGTCTGCAATAGGGTTGAACGTAAGCCAGGATAGGAACTGAAACCACTGACAGCAAGTCAAACATTACAATTTGTGCAACAAATGACAGAAATGAAAAAAAAAAACAGACATACCAACAACAAACAAGGAGTAGCCCTTGTGTGCTGGAACTTAGCATCTAACGTTATAAAGTATACTTTAAAAAACTAATTCAATCATGCTCTTCAAGTTTAAACTATGCACCTGCAGAGCTTACTTTGTGCTTTCTGTGTGGCTGCAGACTATACACCAAGCGGGCAGTGAAATGTGCTGACCCCAGAGACCGGAAGGTCAAGAGGTTACTGATGAAGCTGACCCAGAGACAGAGGACCAAGGCACAAAGATCAACGTGGCCGCAGCCACAGGGATATCTCCCACTCATCACCGAGGTACGCAGGCATTGGATGCTTTTTGCCCACTTTTTCATTCCCGAGTAAAACCAATCTACAGTACCTAAACTGTGCTTTCATGAAAATGACATTCAGTTTATTTTGGTTTGATGCATCTATGGTTTCTCCATCTTAATTGGCATCTTCCTAATATAGACTAGGGAGTTGTGTTAGCATGCTTAAGATGCAAAGGAACTGGTAAAGGTTTATTCCATGCTGAAGGGAAAAGACAAGAAACACAATGTTCTGTCTCTTTTCTTTCCAGCTTGGAAAAAAAATGTTACCTGCTCCTTTGCATCTTCGTAATATTATGAATACTGACCACAAATCAGGACAAAATTCTGCTCTCGAGCTTAAGTCCCCACAGACTGTGTCTATAAGGTCATAGTGAAAAGATCCAGATAGACTTGAATCTGAAGAGAAAAGAATTTGATATGGATACTACATCCTGAACACGTTATACATGCTATGTCAATATATGCACTGCCACTTTGCTTAATTCCGCTTTTTCAGAACTATCTGTCTAGCGGTAATTAGCACTTTTCAATTCATAGCAACAGACAGAATTCTGTGAAAATAATACATGCGCAGAATATTTCTAGGACCGAACACAGAAAATGGAAATATGACTGTAATCTCATTACTAGTGAAGGTCATACTTTGATTCTTCTTTACTATACCATTATCTGTGCTCCATTTCTGTAATTGCTTTACTTTTAACACTCATATTTGATATTAAAATTTTAGATCTAACAATTAGAAACGCGTTTCATTATGTCCATCGCAAAACCACATAACTGATGTTGTTCATTATGGAAACAGAAATGTTAACATGCCTCTTTTAAATGGGGTTAACGTTATTTGTAGGTAACAAATATATATTTTTCCCAGGCAAAATAAGGAAAACTTCAGAGAAGAACCCCACCAGAGCACTGACAAGCTTGCATCTTCAGTTTTGGGCTGAACGTATGTGCATTTATTCTATGTACAGTATGTTGGCCTCGGTCTGTCTTGTTGTTTCTTCATTAATGTAGCAGAATCTTTATTACATATACATATTCAATTATCTCAACTGTTGCTGACTATACCAAAGTATTGCTGGTGAAGCTGTATTAAATCGTGACTGAACTATTTTCTATTGAGTATTTGTAAATGCTTGCCTTAGTAGATATAATACAGGGCTCCCAGTTTTACACTGACCAGTTAGGGCTTAAAGAATGCTGTCAAGTTAGAACTAAGGAGAATACTAGAAAAGAATGTATTAGCTATTCCTTTATATTTTTACACATTTTAAGTTGGATTCTTTTTAAATAAATGATTTTGTAACCCTTGCTGACTTTTTATGGTTTGTAAAGACCTCCACTTTAACATCTTTCTGCAATTACAGCCTTATTAAGCCAGGACATAAACATTTTGAAATAGTTTGAAGATCTGTATTTTTCAGAGTATTTCCTATTTCACATGAAATCTTTTGAGATTAAGGTGGAAAACAAGAAAATACTTTAATTGTATGGAAATCCCAAAGTAAAAATGAAGCAATTCAGAATGAACTACTGTCAGAGCAACAGGAATCTGTGCTAATTACAATAATATAAGTGATCTGTTTCTGATTTTAAGAACTGCAGGGACTGCCATATATTTCAAGTTTGATAAAATATTATTTTTTTGTGTTGCAAAACATCATTTCTTATATGGATGTGCATCCAGTAAAACTTAAAGCGTGCTTTCTGAGCATAAGGAGACTCACCTGTTTCTCTCCTTTGCTATGCCAAAATAAGGAACCATAGAAAAGATTTGCATTAAGGCTAAGACAAATCCTATTAAGGATAGAAAAAAGAATTCTCTTAATACAGTGGTTTAAAACAATGTGGCATGCTTTGCAGTTCTGGAATCAGTTACTAAAAAGACAAGAAGAGTGCACAATCCTTTGTGCAACGTTACTTTCGGCCAAACATTTCTGTAACAGCCCAGATTTCTGATACAGTATATGAAATGCCCCATACCTCCACCCACACCCCTTTTGTTTTCAATCCTTTCAAGCTTTTTAAATGTTTTTCCAACTGTGCAGTTCACTTTGAAATGCTTTTACAATTATGCACTGCTGCCACTTCAAAAGGAATTAGATGCAAGGTTTTCCCACAATCCATTCTTATGGAGAAATCCTTGATTCCCAGCCAATCCAAATGGCATTATACAGTGCTGTGGGGTATGGCAATTGCATTCTTTCTTTCCTGGCGTGTTTAGTCATTAAGTGAATGGCTGTTTTCATAATGTCAGGCACGTTTATTAAGCACTGAAATTCCTGGACACAGGCAACATAGCTTAATGCATTAGGTAGTACTTTCTACAACCAAAAGATCTGCTGAACCTCTCTGCAGGCTTTTGAAATTTGTTCTAGTTGCTGTTTATACTACATGTCAGCCTTTCTCCTGCTTTATTGTAGCATTCCCTGGCTCTGAACTGAAGGAAAAACTATTTTTGTACTTTTAATTATCTCATGTTTTATTCACAGTCTCTGTGTAATTCTCTCTTCAAATGAAACAGAAAAATGAAGTCCATATTAGCTTCTTTGGCTACTGCCTTTGCCTGTGAAATGCCTGAAAAAAAGTTACAAATTGTTTGGAAAAAAACACTGCAGTTGTAAAATACTCTGAATTCTTGTACTTTTGTCATTATCGATAACAACCCGCTAAGTATTGTTGAAGTAAGAGAAATAAAAAGGATATCGGGCATAGTAAGGTCTGCATATGAAAGGATAGAAAAAAAAACAAAACAACAGTATTCTGGTTTTGGGATTTTCCATGGGAAATTTGAAGGGAATCCTCTATACATTTCAGAAACTGAAGAAAAAGATGTGCACAGAACTTCTATTTAAAGCAGACACAAGACAGTACTGGGATTTTAAAAGGCTAGCAAAAAGAGACTCACTGAAAAACACAGCTGTAATCATCCCAGGAGCTAATATCTGAGTAATTTGATGCCATTGATCTGGACTATATGGGCAATCTACAAGTGGCAGAAGATCAGGAGAGACTTCAAAGACCAAAATCTTAATCCATGGAACTGTAATGCATTCTGAGCTCTTACATACAGATTATGAAACCAACACAAAATGCTGAGCAGCAGACATCTTGTTATAGAAGATTTCTTAAGGTATTCATAATTGATGCAATTACATTATACAATATCCTCATGTCACAATAATGACTTGTAGTGAGTTTTTGTGGAGTGAGCTTTCATTTGTCCTACTTTCTCTATGCGATCTTCCCTATCCCAGTTATGTTGTTGATCACTGAAAAGGTCACATTTTGTAAAAGATTTTTTTCACAGTGCTTAAGACACGCCTTAAAACGCAACTGCCTCAAATTAAACATTACTTACAATGTTTTAAACAAATAAATTGTTAAACAATTCTTTTTCATGTTTACATTGTTTTCTCAGAAAAGCTAACAAACATGAACACAGAATGAGTCTGGTTTCCTTTGCTCTGAGGTTCCACTTCCTTACACTGGAGTTAGCTGATTAAAATACTTCGCAATGCGTTCGAATATTACATATGAAGCACAGACAACAACATCATGGACAACTTTAAGTGACTAACACAGAATTTGTTTATTCCTACATGATCAAAGATATCTCCCAAACAGACCAAATGCTCATCCCAATTTGCAATTATCATCAGAGTTTGATAAATCCAAATCAATTATGCTGAAGCAGTTTTCTCTCTCCTTTTATCATGTTAAAGCCTGAAGATATTTACAGTGTATTACAAGGAAGACCTGTGAAGATCATCCAAAAGGTTATTTTATCTCCCCGTCTACATTTCATACCACCAGCAAATTCTTACTAAGCAGTCAGTCAGAAGATGTGTCATAGGATAGCAAACAGAAACAAACGGGAGTATGTGCTTATATCGTCAATGGAGCTCCATCAATTTTCTGCACTGTATTCATTTTAAAACCACAATTAATCAGCAAATGTTATTACTACAAAGCAACTCAATTACCCTGGAAGACATCACGCCTGGGGAGAGAAACTCATTTACTCTGGTGCAATCAACCAGAAAGTACTGGCACTCTTTATTTCGACTGTGACATTTCTTTTCACTTTCTTTCCAAAATACTGTCGTCTCTGTGCATCTTATTTTAAGCTGCCTTCACTAACTAGAACAAGTGATGGTTTTTGTACAAATCTGGAAGAAAACACTCCTCTTCTCCAAGCTAAAGAGGTAAATACCCTCTTTTCATTTTACCTACAGTGACAAAGTCAGGAACCCCTAATGCAGAAAAAAATACATAGTTTATTTTTAGATACACAAGCAGTATAAATCAATTAAAAATCAAAATGAGTTGCAAACTAATTTAGTAATAAAATACCTCTACTATCTTTCACAGTGAAACTTTTTTTTCAGTGCAGTGTTGCAAAAGCTTTATTCATGAACTGTTAAGCAGAATGCAGTCTGCAGTCTAGGGGGAGCAGCCATTTGGTGGCATGTTGATCAGGCTAGGGGGTGGGGTATTTAAGCTCCAGACCCATGCTGATTCTGCTTACTTGGGCCTGAACTGTTTTTGTTTCAAGTCGAGGTGCTAAACACCTTCTCCCCGAGACGAAAGATGATTGATGCCTTTGACCCCCTTCAGATCACCCCTGCTTAAGAGCCCAAAACTGCTTAAAGCAGTTAATTAAGATCAAGTGGGCCTGGTCAGCACACACATCCAGTGAGATCTCTAAACAACAAGAGCTGAGGTGAAAGCCTAATGCTCTGAAGACTCTCTTTGAAGTTCTTTCCACTTTAAATACTGTGCCACAGGCACTCTGCCGGGACTATTTGATTAGCTCTCTTGCCCCACAACACTTTGGTGTTTATCAGCCTTGCCCAGTGACAGGCAAGCATATATATATCTTTGGTTCCTTGGAGGACACCATTCTGGATCGTGGCAGAATCTAGCCAGCAGTCTGACTGCAGGAGCTTTGCAATGGATGTGCTGTCAACAAGCCTGTTGGTCACTCTCTGCTTCTTGTGTCCTGCCAGTAAGTACCATGTGCTTTTGTGCTTCTGCTATTTTGAGATATGCTGCCAAAAAATGTTGTAACTGCAAACATACTACATCGTAGGTGTCAACACAGCAAGAAAAGGCTGTCATTATACCTAAGAAAATAGGAAAAGATTATTATCTAAAGCTGCAGTACATAGTGATACAGAAGTAAAATGTGCACTGTATTCTTCATACCTTGCTATAAAGAATCCAATTCCAAAATTATGGAATTAACTTCAGAATTTGGAGTTCTTTTTACAGCTTTTATTTGTTAATCTAATCTGTTCAACTATGAGCTGTGCTTTATGTCATCGGTAACGGAAACCACTTGAAACTTGTATGACACAAAGCCGAAAGGGAAAAGCAGATGAAATGTTTGTGACAATGTGTCACTTTTCATTTCCTTTAGCATTTAGTGTTACCGATCAGAGAAGTGTAGAGAATCAGGTAGGTAATTACAGACAGTGGTGGTGAAATTTGCAGGTGCTTTTGATTTGCATGCCCTAAAATTGGTGTAAGAAATCTAAACAACAGAAGAATCACAAGAATCCCAAGTCTTGTAACTCAGATTCCCATTAGCCTATAAACAGCTGCATCGATGCAAAACAACTGCAGCAATACAACCTTACAGCTGGCCAGAAAGTGCTGTGATGTTCTCAATCCATTTTTTGAGACCACTTACCAGTTTCTCTCTTCATGTGCTTCAGTCACTGGAGTCTTCGGCAGGCATGTGGGCCAGAGAAACCTGTTCACAGAGAGAGGCTGCTGTCGGAGACAAAGTCACTTCATTTACGTTGGCCAGGGTGAGTAACTCAGCTTCACAACAACAGTAAGAGCTGTGCAATTATCTGAGGCTTTCTTAATGGAGCACGTCTTTACCACTGATTCACTGTAGGGTCTTCAGTACATCTACTTTGTTCCCAAGCTATTGTGGGGGAAACGTTTGAATGCATTTTGCAGAATGTGCTGCCAGCAATCTGCCCCTTTTGCGAACAGCGGCACATGAAGCTGGTTTGTTTTGGTGCTTTTGTATTCCTGCTTCCTGTGGTCCTGTATTGGATAAAGTGGTCAGGAACTGGACGGGGGTATGCCGATTTTCCACATTATCACAGCCACCTTGATGTACTCCTGCTCGAACAAGAATTTTGGTTGTTAAAATGATGAGAGGTTCTCAGGACTTGGAATTGTTTTAGCCAACTTTAAGGATATGTTTCTATTTTTAATAAATGTTACTTGAATAAATATTATTTTTTTCCAGTCGAGCACATTGCAGAATGTATACAAGATGTTTAATTTGGCTGGCCTTGTTTTGAGATTTTAATATTTCTGTTTAATAGGAACGAGTAATAGGTTTATTCCATGCTGAAAAGAGAAGACAGAAAACACCACGTTTCAGCTGTGGAGCCTTCTTCCACACCCGAAACGTTTTCTTTCTTCTCTTTTCAGCATGGAATAAACCTATTACTTGTTCCTTTGCAGCCTACGCACGCTGACCTGGACCACTTTCTGTTTAATGTGCTGTTGAGCTAAATTCCTGAGGTGAATGACGACGTCTTGAACAAAATATAATTTGCTTTCTGTTGGCCTACGCCGTTGTGCGCAGACGTCTCCGGCAGCCCGATCAGTGTGGACGTGGGGCTGTGCAGATCGCACTGCGGGGGGTACCAGGGCGCCTCGGGGTCGTATGGATCGGGAATTCCCGGATACTCCAAGCACACTTCACTGCTGGAATTCCTCAGGAGCAAAAAGGTAAAATGCTTGGCAAACCAAATCAATCGCCCCCTCCTTTGTTAGCCTCTAGGTGGAGCCATTCTGCAAGATTCGTATACAATTAAAATAATCGGTTCGCCGTTAGATGTTCAAATATGGAGATTTTGTTTTCTGGTTTATATTTTCAATCTTAACGTTTTTAAAGTCCATCTCTTGTCTCAAGCCCCACTGATTCGCATTCACCAACTGAGTTTAACTCTTCAACCAGAGGAGACTTTCTGCCTCGTTTGTTTTTATATTCGGCCCGTAGTCTAATGTAACACGGATAAAACTACGCGTCTGCCCTTCACGTAAGGAACCAACTGTGTTGTTTTCTTTATATTATGTCAATACGAGGGATAGCTTTTTTTCCTTAACGAGCAAGTCTTCAAGGTAGCTCGGGTGCTTTACCTTCCTGGGAGGCCAATGCAAAGCAAAGGAACTATCCCAGACAACAGCTGGTCCAGGTCAAAACATGAAAGATTGTGTCGGTCTCGGCTCCGGACCTGCGGTTGACGCCTTCGCCTTTTCCCTCGGTCGCAGCGCGAACGCCAGCCTTCCCCCGAGGCGCCGGAGCCAGCCGGGCTGGTGGCGTCCTGCTCCGCCGGCGCGGCGTGCGTCTCGGCCGGGGTGCGAGTGGAGCGGGTCCTGCTGTTCGACGGGGTGCGGGAGGTGGAGGTCACAGAGGAGTGTCACTGCGAGCCCAGCCCGCCGGAGTGCGTCCGCATGCCTGCGCTCAAGACCTACTTCTTCGAAACCCCGTACGAAACCGTCGTGGATGTGGGGAAGTGCTCCAAGCCTCCCGGGACTCCAGGTTTGTGCAAACCATCTCATAAAAGACGTTTTTAGGATCAGGTGCGCAATGCGCGCAAGTTTCAAAAATGTACGAACGATCGTTTGTGCACCAATAAAGGGCATGAAAAGCTCTGCTAACCCACCCGTTTTGCGCAATAAATTGAGCCGTTTCACTGTTGAATACGAGAGTCTGTAGAAACTAGTTTGGTTTTGATGCAAGACTGCAGAGATAGGCAACAGCTTAAGGCACCATGTGTGAAGCCAATAACATTTCCATCAATAAAAGCAGCGCTACTGTGCCCTTTGGAATCTGGCTGAACGGCTCCGTACAAAATAAATAGGCAATAATGGCAACGTTAAGATTAAGGGTCTCTTTTTGTAGAAAATAGTGTTTTTGTGCAGGCTTGGGAGGTGAGGTGGGATGCTATGTTATCATTCTGAATATGCTGGGGACAAAGTGTGGATCTCCTGTATCTGATAGAGCATATGTGACAGAGTGCTTCTCTGTGAATGCGAGATAGACCCCAGAGTCCAGCGCAATCTAAACGTTTCAATGTGACAGTTGAGTAAAATCAAAGCCCAGACCTCGCACCCCACTCGTCTTGAACAGTGCATTCACCCAGCTGTTGCTTTGCCAGACGGAATCTCCTGTGTCCCGACCAAGTTCAGCTCAGCCTTGGTGGAGACGCCCAGTAAAATGGAGCTGATACAGACAGCGGCAGCCTGTGATCTCAGGGAGAACTGCTACAGGGTGTCCTACAAAGAGTATTACTATGAAGTCTTCTACAACTCCAATGGGGTCAAGGAAGAGAAACTTAAGGTGAGACGCAGCTCTTCGAGCAGAAACCAAGCATTTATACATGTTCATGTTCATTTCATTTTCAGAATTGTACAATGTAGATAAGTAGATATTTAAGTAGATATTTATGCACTGGCATAGTGGGGTTGTGCAGTTTTGAAGAAACCACTAGAATAAAGACACAGCAATTCTTACTTAACCTCAGTGAAGTATCTGCAGGAACCTCGCTGCCTTCTTTAGCTTATCCTGAACACATCACCCGAATGTAAAAAAATGGGAAGTGATAGATCTTTTGAGGGAGAGTTTTAAAATGAGAGTTTTCTTGATTCTTCGTGTTATTTTGGAAAAGCAGGCCCTGTGGCACCTCAGCAGTGCTCTCTGGCACAAAATAATAGCATGACACTTCCCAGAACACAAGACCCTGAAGAGAAGACATTGTTGCTGTGACTTGCATGTGGCATTCCTGTTACATTTAGTGCTTTATTTTAAATGCATCCTTAATCACTCTTGATTTTACACGCGGTCTTTGTTGTTACTCTGCGTTTGAGTTCCTTTTCATTAACTGGAAGACATTTCTTACAAGCAGCTATATGAAAACACAGTGATTGGAGTTTTTTTAAAAAAGGAAAAGGAATGTTTTTTATCAGATGTTTCATTAAGTGATTTAGGCACAAAATAAGTACGTTCTTGTAATTTGCAAAACTTTTGTCACACCTCACACCCTTGATAAAAGGTGTGAGGACTGAGTACACAAAAGGTCTCCTCAAGAGCTAAATCAACGCACTTAAAATGCTAACTAGTGGTCCCCCTGCCCAGGCTGTGGAGTCCAAGGGAGCCCCCTGCATATTCCCAGCCTGCTGTGAGCTGATTGTCCTCTTTATGTTGGTAATTTTCCGCAGGAAATTGATGTCGGCAGATGTTTAGGGAGCTGCACCTCAGGAAATCGTTGTCTGCTCAGGTAAGAACCACTGCCTCAGAGCCCCTTCAGCCTGGTTTTGTCTGGGGGGTGTGTGTGCGCGCGCGCGTGTGTGTGGGAAATTCTTCAGAGATTTTCTTTTTAGGAGGAGTCAGAGGTGAGCGAGGTCTTATTCAGTTAATGGTGAGCCAACTTGCCAGCTGCCACAGAGGGTGGCTTTAAAGTTTGGAACTGTATGGAAATGCGCACACAGACCGGCTGTTTTACAACACCTCTTTGAAAGACGCAGGCTTTCTTTCAGCATGCCATCCAGTGGGATCCCCACTTCCTGGAATAAAGAAAAGACCCGTTGTAAAACAGGAGCTTAGGAGGTGGAGTTTTTTTTCAATTGCATTTGTTTACACACCCAGCAGAAACCTTTGATGTATGAAACCAATTCTGCTGTTTTATTGAGGTTCATTTGCACGTCCCATCGTTTTTTTTCTGTGAATTGCTTGGTTGGTTCTGTCTTGTTTTTACTTGAAATGTTCACCTCCAAAATGAGCAACTAAAGGTTGGTTGCCTGGATCCCAGGTCACTACACATATTATTGATGAGCTGCTTAAAGATAGCGGAAATCCTGCTTGCTGGTCTTGACGTCCTCCTAATCTTCTCTTTGTGCGATGAGTAGAATTTCATTCTGCCGTAATACAATCTACACAATGCAAAGGACCGTGCGGGGGCTGAATTTAAGAGGCAGCAGAATAATGTTAAGAATCAGGCCCAACTTCTCCCTTTTCTCAGGGTTAGGCCACATAAACGAGGGTCTGGCTGAGATGAGTTTGTGTCAAATGTCACTTAGAATGATTTGTGTTAAAATGATTGATAAGTGTAGGTAAAGCTTGGTGATAAAGTGCAAACGGTTTAAAAATGGTGTGTAGTTGTACAGTGTTGTGTATTTGGGTAGGTACAGGTGAAACGTGTACCTAGTCCCTAATTCTCCTCATTTTTTCCCCCCTATTGATTCTTATACAAAAAGCCTCTTGGCATTAAGTTACATCTGCAGAGATTCCACTTTTCCGGTCCCTAATGTCTATATTTAGATTTTTCATATGGGGATCTATTCCCCTGTATACTTCATTGTTCTATAAGTCACAACTTACTGCTCCCATCACCTCTACATGTATTGGGGGCTCGCTGTACCTAAGTGAGCCAATTATTTGGGTGGCTCTGTGGCTCTGTGGCTAACGATCTGCACCTGTGGCTGGGAGGTTGCCGGTTTGTATCCCCGGCTGGCAGAGGAATCCTACTCCGTTGGGCCCCTGAGCAAGGCCCTTCACCCCAACTGCTCCAGGGGCGCTGTATAAAAGGCTGACCCTGCGCTCTGACCCCCAGCTTCTCTCCCTGTCTGTGTGTCTCATGGAGAGCAAGCTGGGGTCTGCAGAAAGAAATTGTATATGGCCGATAAAGTGATCTTAATCTTATTCATGGAAAGAGATCGAAATGCACTACTGCACAGCTGCACTGATGGATTCCCGTCTAGTGAATGCCGAGCATTCTAAAACACTGATTCCCTTTCCATTGGTCTTCCAGAGATTCGTCTCCCCAAGAGCAGTGCCGGGTGTGGGCGGAGCGCCCCGCTAGGTCCTGTGTACCCCGAGACTTCGACAGCCACGCTTTCCGCAGTCGGCATGGCCAAGTCCGCACCGTCCTGTCCATCACGTCCTGCGCGTGCCGGCCGTGAGTCCCGGCCCCCTCTGGAAGGCTGTGCCGGGCCGGTTCCCAGGCTCCGGAAAAGACGAAGAAGCTTCCCACCATGGGGTCTGGGGGCCGGTCTGGTTTGTCCGCCACAATCTTGCAGACCTTTTTTAATGTGGAGGTCCCGGGACATTATAAGGTGTTTGAAACGGGGCAGAGGCACATCAGCAGAACTGCGGAGAATCTCTTTCAGGAAGTCTGAGCACCACTGTCGCAACACCAGTCCCTCACAGTAAAGAGCATTGCAGTGACAGAGTTCCTTGTCTGGCCCGACCCTGTGATTCAGTCCACATCCAGTTTCCTCAACTACACATTTCCCAGACGTGCTTGTGATAGTGACATTGTGACCATTTGAAGGGGTTCTTTATGGACAGGAGTGAAAAAGACTCAGACATCTACATGCCGCCAGACTTGTTTATGAAAGAGCTCTGTAACCATTCAGGGGTGCAGTCGGAAATATTCAAGAGGGCAGTTCACGCGATTGGCCAATGCTTATCTATTTTTTCACAACTTTGGCAGTTATTTACAGCAAATAACTGTATTGGACTCCATCCTGTGCTAACAAATTAGCACAGGGCAGACTCCCAGGCGAACTGCAACAGCTAGGAAATGTGGTCTTGTGAAACACTCCCTTCGTTCTTCACACTAGTGCCTGGAATATCGCTTCCTCTGAATCAAGACGGGAGTACTTGCCAGGCGCCTGAAAACGATTCTTTTACGTCACCACAAGATGGCACTGTTATCTTCCCGATTCCTCGCGACGTTTAATTTACAAATCGCGTTATTTAATGCTGTCCGACTAGGGGGCAAATAAGAAGTCAGTACATATATTTTTTTATTTTTTAAACAACATTTTCGGATCACCGCCAGATTTTCAATAAAGCTCACTACAAAACACCGTGGAGTTAATGGATTATATCACCATTCTGATTACAACAAATGTATGTTGGGAGAAGTTAAATTGTGAGGGGAAGAGATGTGTGATCTTTTATTGGATATTAATTCAAGACATTGTGATTGAAAGCTGTAACTGTTGTCCAGGGAAATCTTAACTCTTATCCCAGTAGGATCTTAACATCTGTCTAGTGAGAGATAGCTATGTAAAAATACCACATTAGTTCTTGGTCCCGCTGTGTTCTAGAAATAAGAGTGTTGTTGTATAATATGTAAGATATGTATAAATAATTTTATTAATAAAATCTATCCGGAAGACAAACTTTTCAACGTGCACGTACAGTATGGTGGATCATGCTGGGGGATTCCTGTCCTCACAATATATTCTAACTGTTTCACTCAATAAAAAGGCCTTGAAGTGAATATGTTGAGTAGTTGTACTCTCCAGTGGGTGTTCAAGTAATTTGGCAACTGATAGATTAAGCCAATGATTGAAAATAGTAAATATCCTCACTTGGCCCATAGACAAACTCATCCCCAAGGGTGTCTTAGTTTCGCCACAAAGAGGCAGTGTACCAGCTACACTGCCAGTCTCACTTCCTATCAGACCGATAAGGGCAGCATTAACCTTAATAGGTACAGAATAAAAACACAGAGCAGGATAGCGAAGGCAGCCAACAAAATTCTCAGTGCACAATATCTGCATTAGATAAATAGTGCAGGACATCATAATCATAGATTATATAGGCCAGTATAATCGTTGGCAAAGAAGCTTCCCAACATGGGCTTTGGGAACAAGTCTGGTTCATCTGGCACGATCTCACAGATCTTTTTTTATCACGAGGTCCCAGGACTTTATAAGGTGTTTGAAATCAGAACTGTGGACAAAATCTCTTCCACCTGTTAAGTGAAGTTGAGCTCCTTCCTTCAGGACATTGATTTAATAATAATTGCTTACACTTATATAGCACTTTTCTGGACACTCCGCTCAAAGCTCTTTACAGGTAATGGGGACTCCCCTCCATCACCACCACTCTGCAGCCCCACCTGGATGATGCCCATTTAAACTGTGCATATTCAATAGAACTAATTTATCCTTTATCCCCACAGCAATTAACCTGCTTAATTTAGGCAATTTTAGATTTTACTTTATATATTTGTTTTTTCATCGTAGACTTGTGTCTTTTATTTGTATGGGGTTCTTGTTGTGTTAAATGTGTTGTGTACTGTGTCATGTCTTTTACCCTCCTGCTGAGCAAACTACCCATCTGGGACAATAAAGGAAGTAGGCCAGCATTAAAAATCGCATCAGTGAAATGTGCATCTTGGACTCTCGGAAGGGAACAAAGGATTTGATGAGATTGGGAAGAGTTTGGCAAAGACGGCAGCTGTTGTCACTGCTCAGTCCAGTAAGGGGGCAGGCCCTTTGTTAGGGTTCCTGCGTTGGAGTTTAACAATGTCACATCCAGTGGTCACCTCAGAATAAACAATGACCACAATGGGTGTGGAAATTTCCTAACATGCGTTAGATTGCGCTCCTGTTGACTTTGTGTAGATGGATTGCTTCTTCCTAGCAGCTGGGGATTCTGGACTATAAAGCCCTTACTTTTACATGACAGCAAAGGCAGGGACAGAACCAGAGATGAACACTAATCTGATGAGGAGGGATTCAAGAAGCAAATATAAGTATGTTGTAATCTAGACAACAGAAATGCAAATTAAAGGGGAGAGTGGGAGAACTGTCTGCTTAGCTCTGTAAGTAGATGTTTAGGAACTGTATCGGCATGCTGGAAGGTTTTAATTGTCCCTAAAATGCAGTGTAAAAAGCAGTGTCTACCACAGGCACAAGAGAATCACACAGTGTGTGTATTGTGTGTGTATGTTTGTTCAACACCAGTTTCTTATCAGTGCCAATGGTGCTGAATGTAAACAGTTTTAAGGCAGTTTTCTGCACGTTTCAAGAGCTGTATGTTCCTTTAGCATGTGATTGGGTGCTTAAATTAACGCTTCACAATACCCAAATTACAATGATCTAAATAGAGTGAAAAGTGGATTGATGACAAAGAATTATTGGGATTCTGAACTGCATCATTAACATACTGATTCTGATTTGATAATATTGTATGCCACCAATAAATAAAACCTATTTTTATTTGCTGCCATTCAATACATGCAATTCATATTCACCAAACTACCTCTTGATTCTGACTGATACCTCTCTTGGTGCTGTTTTACATCCTTATAATGACCACTTATTCCTGTTCTGTATATAATATTACTCTATATTACTTTAAATTGTACACACAAAATGTATTTCACATCTATTCATTAAAACTAAAACTGATTTGTTCTACAACAGTTGTGGTTTGACCTTTTTGGAGTTAAATATAGAAAAATAGTTTATAACCATATTCAACATTTTCTCAATAATAGCATGATTTCTTATAGTAATAGTAATAATTAAACATCTAAAACTGAAACCACATCTCTAAATTGTTACACTTGTCTTAAAACAGCGCTGCGGCTAAGGTGTTACTTTAAGCACAACTGTACTGCACTATATTTAAGGCAATCAGTCTAATCAGTAATAAATAATAACGCATTGTCTTTAACACATGTAACAAAGTTAATTAGAGAAGAACCTAAAATGACATTATTGTCGATAAAACAACATGCTGGTAGTAAACTTCCTCACGGGTGTGTTCAACACTTCAATATATAATGAGCGGCAATTATTGTCTGTTCACATGTGAGACCTCAGAATTTGAAATCGGAGACTACAAAGTGATTTGAAACTAGAAAATTTGAGTACAAAATACACTGTAGCACACATTTGTAATCTCAGGTATCGTTCTCCTTATATACGGATTAAAGAGTTTTACTGTAGATTGGCAGCTCTCGGTGTTGCGACTAGACATTTATTCGAGTAATTTGCGTTCCGAGTTTACAGGTTTTACAGATTATCGGGAGCGTTTCTGCTGGGAATTGAACAGAGCAGGTTTATAATAGGATTAGACAAGAGATTTATCGATCGGCTTTAAAAAAAAAACATGTAGGTGGCCGTACAATTATAAGGTGTATTATTCTTAATTTGTTCTTATCAAAACGGGTGGTAGACTATTTTTAATTGTAATACTTAAATTAACAAAGGGAAAACATAAAATGGACTCAGTACTAAATATCATTCTTAGGGACAACCCAATTTCCTCAACTTGTAGCCGTTAAATGCATTGAAATGCTTGGGTTTATAAAATAAGGTTACATTAACCACTGTCGCTTCGCTTAAGCCGTGTTTAACCAGGTGAGCAAAGTAGCTGGTGATTTTTATTAATACATTATGTACATCCTTAAAACGAAGGCCCATTATTTGTTTATCGAGGTAATTGGCGTTCCTGTAAGACATTACCCTGCTGTTTGTCCAGTTAATGGATTCATTTAAAGGAAGTTAGCCACCCAGGGAGAGCAAACTCCCCACGCAGAGTTTCCAACAAAAGCGTTTTGCACATGAGGAAATGTATTTCGCCTCTTAACCCAAATTTCTGCGTATATCCGTAACGCTTGGTTATTTTTTCCTTATTTTTTAACGCATTATAAGAAAGTCAGGAGGTATTGAAGTAATTTACCCCGCCTTGATGTACAGGATACCCCCAATTGCTTATTGGCTGTCGGAGCGGGTTTCGCACCTTGTTAACACCGCAGTTAGCTTTTCTTTACATTTGCTGATAGTTGATTTACATTTGCGACTTAATGCCATCTTTTACAGCTGTTGTCCCAGGGCTTAGGGGCACCCAGGCAGAGCTCCACCACTTGATATAAAACAGTGTGGCACAGGAGGTCTTCAACCACTCCTAGCTCGGGACAGCTTCTGGAGAAACGTTTCTGAAAGCTTTTTGCGAATACCGCCGAGCAGGAGCGCCGTGCCCACGGAAAACACGAAGATGATCTCTGCGGTCCTCGTCCTGTGCGCTTTGGCGAGCGGGTGCTGGGGCAGGCCCACCCTCGGCTACTTGGACAACGGATTTGCTGAGGAGAACGACTCGGAGGAGGTGCGCTCGGAGGCGCTGAAGAGGCTCTTGGAGGTTTTTGGAATGGGAGACGCGCCGCACGCCCGAGGCCTTCACAAGCAGCCCCCCCAGTACATGCTGGACCTCTACAACACCATCGCGGACGCGGACGGCGTAACGAAATACCCCGACTTGCTCGAAGGAAACACGGTCCGCAGCTTCTTTGACAAACGTAAGAGCGCGCCTATTCTTTGTTACATCCCGCTATGTAAGATGCAACGTACCTCAAAACCAAAGCAAAAATCTAATGGTGCTGTCTAATTAACTGCAACTGTCATTTTGCGACACGTACGCGCCAACCGGTTTCAGCCGTTGAGACCAATACAGTAATCGACAGCCAACTACAACCTAGTCCCCCGGGCAGCAAGAGAGAAGCAATTAAGGGGTTTTAAACTCGCAATTGAAAAGTTGTGGGTTAAAGTCCCAAGTGGAGTACTGCTGTAATACACTTGTGTGAGGTATATTGCTTACATTGCTTCAGTACAAATTGCGCATCTGCAGAGACGGGTACCTATTGTACTCTGCTTGGGACTAAATCGTCGGCCGAAGAAGTAACATTCATAGAGACACAACATACTATTCCGTAGTCATTCAGATAGGCGGCTAAAGGTGAAATGCGCAATAACACTTCATGTAAGAGCGTTTCCAAGTGTTTTCTAACACATGCAATTGTATACTAACAATACACATTCTCTTTTCTCCTCCACCCAATGTAGTTCACAGCGAACAAATCCAGTTTATGTTCAGCTTGTCTACGGTCGCGAAGACAGAGAAGGTCCTGACGGCGGAACTTCACCTGTTCAAACTCCGACCACAGTCTTCCGTCGTATTCAGCAAACAGCACTTCTGTCAGGTACACTTTGTTTTTTATCCTCATATCAAAGCACGGACCGCGTACAGCGCCTAGCCCCGTGGGGTGGCTGGGCTGACGTTGGTTGCCGTTTTATAATATACCGGGTCTCTCATCTAATCCAGCTGTGTCATTTGTCTATTAGACGCTGTTTCTAGTATACGGCGCGCAGGTCTCAGGGCATGCAATTAATAATATTAATAAAGATGTCCCGTTTGGTCCACGGGAGGGTGTACATCGAAGAATTTCTTAAACCATTTTACACTACAGTACTAACTGTCGCCGTTTCTTTCCAGATGTTAAATTAGTGATGTTAATTATGTACTGGTAAAGTGCCGAAGGAAAATTGTTCGAAGAGTAAATGTATCTTTCATAAGATTGCAAAGTATCAATGTTGTCATCCAACAATGCATTATGCCTTAGTTTGTTAGATAATAGATAAAAAAAATAGATGACAGTATACTTTTATTTACCAACTTGTTTTTGCGGCTCTGGCAAGGGCATTATTGACACGTTGCGGAAACCGATTTACAGTATCTAGAGGGAATCGCAGCACAGAAATGTTTTTTTTTTAATGACATCGCTTCCGGCGGGTCAGGACAGATAAGTTCAAAACGATTGCATTAATTTTAAAATATGTTAAATTTAACCGCGAACCGTTTTTAAAAATGATTGCAATTACAAAAGGACGTCGAGTCAGCTCAGAAATCATCACTTTCAACATAAACAAGTAAACCGTGGGATTATAGCAAATGTCCATTTATTTACGCCTGAATTTATGCAGGGAGAGAAAAACTGAAAGGAAAGAGCAAGTGATTTGCATCTTGGAGAAACACTGCGCTGAGGAGGAAGGTTGATTGTGTGTGCGGTGCTAATGAGGCCATGTGACCTTTTGTTTCCCAGGTGAGTGTCTACCAGCTCCTGGATAACAGCAAATTGAACATTTCCCAGAGCAGGAAGCTGCTGTCTTCAAGACTGCTTCCTGTCCACACCACTGGCTGGGAGGTCTTCTCCATCACACATGCAGTAAGTCCGCATTCCTCTGCCAGCAGCGCACACTCCGTCGTATTTAACAGAAACACTACAAATCTGTGATCCTGAAACATGCTTTGGAATGTGTGCATTGGTTCAGATCCCATCTGCAGAATGCAAGCATTGCTGGACAGCGGTCAAACAGAGCCTTTAATAAGTCAAAATCACCGTCAGGAATGATAGACACACACAAGGCCACTTTACCAGTGTTGTAAAACAAGTTTTAAAGGCCCAAAGAGATGTTTTATACAAATTCTGAACTGAATGCACATCCATAACAGCACAGAACTGTTGCATTGCCCTGACGCAGTAGAAACTCAGCTGACAGAAGTATGATATGACTACAAAGCATGTTTGCGGCTACAAATGTGTCAACTATCCCCACCCCCTATAATTAATTAGATTAATTGATTGTTAATTACTTCTCGGTTGATTTCACTGTGTGTGTATCTTGCTATGCCTTGGACCACTGCAAGCTTCAAAGATCTATGGTGGCTAAGCTGTTTGCAGCTATAGGAATGGCAACACATCCTATATATATACATATATCCTGTCGTGCCTGTAGGAAATAACCATGAAGAGTCTGATCCAGGGCTGTAGGGGTCTTGCCATATGGGGACACAATTCAGCTCCATGTCTAATTCTGTCTCTGCTCCTCGCCGCTGCAGGTTCGGTCCTGGATGGCCGAAGAAGGCAGTAACCTGGAGTTGATGGTGGTGGTCCGAACTCTGGGGGGCAGCCAGATGGACGCGAAGCTGGTGCGCTTCGCCTCGGGCCGGAGCCACCACCAGAGCAAGCAGCCCATGCTGGTCCTGTTCACCGACGACGGCGAGCGGGAGGCATCCCTGGAGCACACTCTGCAAGGTGCCTATTCTGCAGCATCTGCAGGAGCAAAACACTGGGGCTCCTCTCTCCCTACGTAGTTAGATTTACTTGCATCAAGACTTTAAGAACCATATTTGACCAATTATTCATTTTTGGATTAATGCATGTTTTGTTTTTCCATTGGGAGCTCTCATAGTGTAATGCCCGGTTTAAAAGCTGATCTTTAAAATGAAATGGGAGCTACATCCTTCTGCTTCCTCCTCACCAACGCTTCCTTTCCTTCCAGATCTCGATAAGGACTCGGCTCTCCCCAGCGTGCCCCATGTGCAGAGCCCCGCCGGTGCCCGCAGTGCCCGCTCCCTGGGCGATGAAGACAGCCTGGCCTGCAAGCGCCAGCCCCTGTACGTGGACTTTGAGGAGATCGGCTGGTCCAACTGGATTGTCTCCCCCCGGGGCTACAACGCCTACCACTGCAAAGGGTCCTGCCCCTTCCCGCTGGGCCAGAACATGCGCCCCACCAACCACGCCACTGTGCAGTCCATCATCAACGCCCTCAAGCTCACCAAGGGGGTCAACACTCCCTGCTGCGTGCCCGACAAGCTCTTCTCCATCAACTTGCTGTACTTCGACGACGACGAGAATGTGGTGCTCAAGCAGTACGACAACATGGTTGCTGGGAGCTGTGGGTGTCATTAGATGAGGTGTGGGGTACCCACTGATACTGACAAACATCGGAAAGCCTGACCCCACGAGGAAGGCAATGATGAACTCCACCTTCAGCCTGAGGCACGATGACATTTCTTACTGGCATGTAGGGAGATAACCTGACTGACTGTGCTCTGGGTTGGCACAGTGGCCCTAGGGTGAGCGTTGCTGCTGTGCAGTGCAGTGTTCTCCTGTGTTCGTGTGGGCTTCCCCTGGGTGCTATGATTTCCAGTCCAGCGACATACTGGTCAGTTAATTAGGTTATGGGAAAATTGGCCCTGCTGTCTGTGTCTGCTGTGCAATGGACAGGCGTCCTGCCGAGGGTGCCCTGCACCTGTTGCTGGTGTAACGGATCTTTGGGTTTCCGCCCTTGCCCCTCCTGCCCTGCCAGTTCGTCCCTCGCTGCCTGGGCTCGAACCCGGGTCTCCGGCGTCACGCAACGGGGAACTTGCCGGCTGAGCTAAAGGAGACCTCCCTCAGCCTGGGCGGCTGAGATCCCTGTTATACGCAGGGGCGTATTTGTTACACTTGCTGGGATAATCTCCAGCTCTCCTGCAACCCTGATTTGTATTAAGTGCTTAGAAAATAGATGCTTGGACGATATTGTCTCGTATAGAAATTCATCCATGCTACATATTAATTTCACTGCTACTGCACCAAAAACTAGCTTAGCAGTTCTTTATCAGTTACACATTTCAGAAAGACTTTATTACACGTCTGTCAGCATTGGTACTTGTGCCATCAAGTGCCATAGATCTCTTCTCTATGTTTAAGAGCATTGCATGCTGTCATAGCATGCTGAACATAGCTGAACCTAGCTGATACAAAGTTTTACCCCAAGCATGGCTTTTATATATTGTATGTGTCACGTACTGTATATTGTCTGTTCCACAAACAGCAGGAATGTGGATTGTAGGTGTTAGAAATACTCACTTATAATGTGCAGGCAGGGGTATTAGATGACCATTATTCTATAAACAAATCTGGCCATCAATGGAAGGAATACACTAGATTGAAATGCATGAGACTATCCATCTGGACTTTATGAATCCTGCATTTTGGTTCCCTCTCACTTGCTGTGCTAAAATGGGGCTAAAATAGATTAAGGGACACAAGTGCTTGTTCCCTGGGGGGATGTAAGATGTGTAAATAGCTATAAATATTTAATATATGAGTAATTCTTAAAAATCCTGTAAATGTGTACATTTGTAAATATAACACCTGCATATGAAAGAGGAAAGGAATGTCCTATTAAAGTAAATCAAACTGATGTGCTTGGTCCTTCTTTCCTGCTGTTGCTGGAGGTCTGAGTGGGGAGCTGCATCAGTGTGCAACTGAAGGTTAACTCCAAGCTAAAAAGGCCTTTCAGCATGAAATTAACCTCCATGTATCTTCACAAATGTATTACGTTAGCATTTTTAAATGCATAATTATTCTTCTGCATCGCAAAACTAATGGAGTCCTTGTAAAAACCAATGGGATTTGTATCAACGCCCCCATTCTCCTCCCTCTTAAAGGATTTGGGGTTGTTTTGGTCTTCAGACACCTTTTTGTTTTCTTCCGAGGCCTGGCAGCCCCAGGAACCACCGGTCCTCGACTCACAGCCTCCTCTTGTCCTCTCGCTCACAGAGGGAGGCCGGGGTTCTCTCTTGAGAGCATCGGAAAGCTGAACCCGATCTCTCACTTCCGGTTCTGAGACACCTCCCCTCTCACCCCCCCGACTCTCGCCATCTGCTCCTCGTTATTTTGATCGTTCCAGCGTGACTGGCTGCCCATCTTCTTTGAACGTTTCATGAGGTGGGTCTCATGAACGATTAATAATGGCTCTCCGCCTGCTCTGCGCTTCACCGGGTGCAGTCCCCAGGGGCGAGAAGGGAGATCCCCCCCCCCTCCCCAGGGGCTGCAGCTGCAGGGCCCTCTCCCGCACCTGTGGAGCACCCGTCTGCAGGGCGCTCGGCTATCCCAGGATCCCTCAGTGCACTGACGAAACATGCCCGGCTAGTTTTGGTCAGCCCCTGCCTGCTGTATCTCTCTCACTGCTCACGGCAATGACTCTGATCGAATTGCATTGATCCCTACTCCATCCCTACCGTTGAATAGCTGTGGTTTAGGGAACCCTATAATCACCCAACCCTTCTGACAGTCAGACAGCTTGCTTCTGCTTGTCCTAGTAGAGCTCAAAATGTATTTCGGTACTAGGAAAATCATCTCTAGCGGACAGTATATGGCAATATGAAACACTGGCTCGGAGAGTTGAAGAAAAACAAGTTTGGGTGTAAAACCCAAGATTTCAGAGATGTGTTTCACTTTAAGGACTAATTTTAGCTTTTTTGAAGCTATTTTTCAGCTTTATTACAATATTGTTGGAATTTCTGGACTGTGGATGATTATGATATTTGCAAGAATACCCCACGTGTAAATATATTAAATAGTCATTTTACTAAGAGTTACTGTTGCAAAGAATAGATTCTAGACTATTTAAATACTTGTGGCACTTAATTGTACAAACATCTGTATTTAATATGTAAGTATGTATGTATTTAAGTTAAATTAAGCGATAAAAAGGAGGTTTTCGCTGTTCTCAATTTTAATTAGACTTATAACACACAGTACGCGTTCAAGTGTATTATGTTTTTAATATTTGCTACTTTGTATGTCTAAGTTATCTCTCCCACCAGAGTTGTTCGGTGCTCGGTCCAATTTTTTGTGTTAAGTATTACCTAGAGATATTTGAATAATTCAGTTAGAGCTCTGTGAAAGGACCCAAATACGGTTAACTGAAGCTCAAAATGCAAATTATTTCCGTTGGACCTCAATGAATAAATCGTTCTCGGTGTCCTCTGCCGCTTTGCTTTCTGACTCGGGTGCCTAACCTGTTAAAGCAGAAGACGTTTGAGTTTTTTTTGTTTCAGAAAACCTACAATGACCATGTTCTTGCTCTGCCTGTTCGTAAACTGCGTCTTGATTCAGATACCATGTGAGTTTGACATTGTTTCGTATTTATTCTACCTGATAAAAAAAAATGCAGATTTCATCGCCGTCGTTGTTTCTTTGTAGCGGAAACAGATCCTGTGATCGGGGGTGTCAGGTTGTCAATCGGGTGTCCACTGATAGACAAAATCAAAATTAGTGAGCGTTTTCAGTGCGTCTCCGTCTCTCGGGGACACCCAACAGACGTTTTAATTGCTAACTCCGATGAGGACAGTAATTACACAGGAACCTCGTTCCCGAAATTATTTGTCTTTGCTTTGCAATTAAACAACTGAAATACCCTTTTTTTTGTCTTACAGATGTGTTGTGTCAAACAGTCCTGACCCAGACGAACTCGGTCACAGCGCAACCAGGAGAAACGGCAAGAATGAGCTGCGATATAGGACAAGGGAAGGACAGCAAGGTGTTAGGGTTCTACAAACAGGCAGTTGGGGGTGTCCCCCAGCTTGTCCTGTACCACCATCACAGCTGGGGCTCTCCTAGCTATGGTCCGAACTTCTCGTCCGACCGGTTTTCCGCCGACAAGAACAGCGCAGGAACCGTCTACGAGCTGATCATTTCCAGAACACAGCCGAGCGACGCGGCCGTGTACTACTGCGGGAAATGGGTTTACGCAGAGAGCAGATTTGTAACACAGTGATTCCGCCCGTGACAAAAACCCACGGCACAGCCGCGCAGCCCTCAGGCTCAATCGGGTAACAAGCGCCCGCGCAACAACCCTCTGGAAATAACGCTCCAGCCCTCAAACTCGACAGCTCTCTACAAGAGACACATTTTAATTAAAGAAAAAAAAATAATGGAAACAAAGCTGACTTTAAAAAAAAGGCGAAGCAAAAACTAGCGAACGAAACATTTGCATCAGCACATTCTGGGGATTACTTTATTCAATGTAAGACCATAATATATCTGATAAATGTCAATGTGACATCAGGCTTTTAGATTCGTTTTGATTGTTATTTTACTGGTTTGTTTTCATGAATGCGTTGTTTGACAGTGGTATTAGTGATCTAGCGTTGAGGGGCTGATGTACCGGATCGCGGTGTTGCGTTTACGGCCAAACTGGTTTAAATTGGATAAGAAAATCGATACGAAAACTACAAATACATTTGTATACAATACAATACAAAAACAATAACGCTACAAAATTGCATATAATTGATCTGTAGTGAGAAAATTGGTCTTTTTGAATTGGAACAACGTTTAACGACAGATTAAGTTTAAGCAAACTTAAAAAAATAGCATTGTCTTTTGTTAGTTTTAATGTTTCTTGGAAAAAAAACAAAGTATAAAGCTTTTTTATACTCAGTCATGGTAATTGTCCTAAATTTGCATTTATTAGACTATGCGTTTATTGTATAAATGTCTGTCATCGTTTATTAAAGTTTTCAGTTCGTTATGTTCCGTCTGTCGGTGTGGAGCTAAGAGAATTTACTATTTAGTAACTGTGGAAGGGCCAGTGGAAGAAATGTAGCTGTATCAGTTGTAGTTTAAAGAGTTTTAAACATTTAATAGTTTTTAAAGCTGAATACTACAAAATTAAGTACAAATTCTGTACAACTAAGGCATCTTTAAAAATATCTCTGATTTGAACTAATATGAATCTAATTATTACTAACAATAAATATATTATTTTATTTATCCAGATTACATACTGTAGTCTAAATCTTCAGTTTTGAAATCCTCCTCATTCCAAGAAGTCACCTGTCCCGGCGGAAGAGCTGGACAAAGGGAAGGCCACGTTGGTGTGTCTGGCCAATAAGCTGTCCGTGGGGCTCGCTGACGTCATCTGGACAGCCAATGGGAGCCCAGTGAGCGGCGGGATCCTGACCAGCCCCGCCTCCCCGCAGACTGACGGCACCTTCAGCCTGAGCAGCCTGCTAAGCGTGACCCCCGCCGAGTGGAGCAGCGATCGCCTGTTCTCCTGCACGGTCTCTCAGCAGATTCAAACCAGACAAACACTACAGCAGCAGCCGCTGTACGAGGACAACATTTTTCTTTGGCTCCTGATTTGATGTGAAAGTGTTGGGTTTTTCTTCCTGGTTAGTATGAATTTCTTATATGGACTATTTTTCTTTATAATTATGAGGTTGAAACTGCCTACTGATGACTGACCTGAAGTTGGTTGCTTTGCAATTGCTTCCTGTTGCTTGCTTTTGCTATTAAAATCGTTTTTAGAGATGAGCATTACTTAACTCCTTAGTAGACCAAAAACAACCTAACTCTAGAATTCCCCCCCAGACACAGAGTAAGGCTTAAGAACACGTTTGTGAGTACAACACCTCCCAGACCTACACTAGAACAATCTTTTGGAAGAAATATTGTCTTCACACCTGCAGTATATGTACTTAACTGAAATACACTTGGACGCAAGGCGGGATGCACCCTGGATCGGACACAGATGCAGAGCACATACAGACACAAACATGCACACACACACACCAGGGCCAATTTTCTCAGGAAGACAATTACCCTACCAGAGTGTCTTTGGACCGTGGGAGGAAACCGGAGCGCCCAGAGAAAACCCATGCGGACATGGAGAAAACATGCAGACTCCACGCATACAGCAGCCCGGGTCCAAAATTGAACCCAGGGCTCCAGCGCTGCACCACCGCCACCACTGCCATTGTGCGATCCTCAAATTTCTTCACTTAGCAAACATCTACACACTCCCATTGGCCCTTTACCAGTCATGACCTCCTAATAATCCCCCTCTCTGAACTGGCTTCATCACTTTGTTCTCCTCTCTACTGAGAGCTGGTGTGTGGGGAGAGTACTGGTGCACTATGGCTGCCGTCGCACCATCCAGGTGGGGCTGCACACTGGTGGTGGTGGAGGGGAGTCCCCATTACCTGTAAAGCGCTTTGAGTGGAGTGTCCAGAAAAGCACTTATATATGTGTAAGCAATTATTATTATTATTATAATTATAAAGAAAACAACACTATTACATATGGTGATTGACACGACTTCCAGTCCTTTTATTTATTTTTAAACATCTTTCATACTAACATCAAAAATATTGGCACTGAAAAGAAACCAAAACACTGATCACCCCCCAATCTCCAGAACAGCATAAAACTCAATTCCAATTCATTCAAAGACCCAAGACTATCATTATGCCAACCTACACAAAGTGAAAGCAGAGCTCTTCCTTTCAATATCTACTTTACTAATGTCTACAATTTGAAATAAACTCACAAATAACTATCATATCTACGTCAATCTATTGATCCAGCTTCTAGATAATCCTTTGCATTTTTAAAATGGGGGTCTAATAATCCCTCTTTCAGATATCAACTCATGTAAGATCCAAGATCCATTGTGTGTTGGTTTTGAGTGGAATGCAGAATTTCGCAAGAAGATAACTAACAAAAAAGCAGAAAATATCAGAAAGAAAATCCTGCATGAGCACTTGCAACTATACAACCGAATCACACCTGCAAAGAATACATCTTCTTAGATTCCATACACTGTACTCTTTTAACTTCAGTATAATGTTAGGGGCAATACTTTGAGCATCACCTTATGAAATGTCTCCACTGGTTTTAGTCAAACAGATATTTAAACAGTACAACAAGAGCTGGTTATCAGTGATGCCACAACTACAGGGAACGATGCCAAAGTCAGATTAGAGGTATCTCTAGTCAATTGGTAGAGATAAGGAGATAAATTAAATTTTTTACCACCTGGGCATCACAGATAGATGCTCATTGAAACTTGCCTATAGTATTAAAACGTGCAGGTAGTAATAAAAGTGAGACAATATTGTCTATGAGTTACATTTTTCTTCTCTATACACATTATACAATTAGTGTTCAAACATTCATATATAAATAAGTACCATCTATAAACACAAACCCCCCACGCAGTTGTCTGGAAAATATTAAGATATCAACCACATTCTAACAAAACTGAAAAATAATTCAGAAACAAATACCTTATTGAACAAGAGAACATGGACTGTCAATCCATGCGATTTAAATCAAAATCACAGGTTCAATCAGAACTGTTACCTGTGTACCTTCAACCATTAAAGAACATAGGAAAAATAACATGAACTGTGTTTTGAACTCTGACATATAAGGTCAACTCCTTGTAGCAAAACCGCAGTCACAGAAATCTTGTATAGTTGTGCTCAATAAGGCTAGGACGTGACTTATCACAACACGCACTCAAAGCTCAGAACTACTAAGGCAATGCACAAGGGGCAACATTAAGCTTCTTAATGTCAATCATAGATAAGACCATTCACGTCAAGTGTCTGGTAGTATGTGATGTAATACTTGTTTGAAAATATAATTTGTGCATTACACCTGTTTCCATCAAATGAGATCACCTATTTGTGTTCCAGAAACAGAACCAGGCTCTACATAGGAAAAAAAATATGCTAAATTAAAAATTGATTTGTAATTGAACTAATCAATTCATCTGGCTTACAGTGATAACACTGGCAAGTTATTTCAGGTTCAGGAAACAGTCTTTGCCTTCTTAATTGTTATAAACAGTTACAATTGGCTATAATGAAGCTACAATCCCCATTTTACACCAAATGCTTTTTGATATCTACAAGCTGACTGAAAGATGGTTAATATTTTTATCATCTTTGTGAGAAAGTAACGCAAGACTGAATAGATAACACTATTCCCAAATAATCTGTCATGACAAGTAGTGATTGTGGTGCGTTGCTTGAGTGTAAATGGTATGCGGAGGTGTAGTAATGTTCAGCTGCCATTGACGTCTATACCAAGTATTCTGGTTTCTGGGATGTAATTACTTCTGTCTTTCCCTAGGTGGCACTATTGCTTGTCACCATTACTCTTTTTCTGCTGTAAATGAAAGTAATCACACATACTGTAAGTTATGTCAGTCTCTTAAAATTAAGTACTTTCAAATAGTGGAATGAATGCTAACGATGATAATAAAAATTAGGGTTTAATTCTTAGCAACATAACTTTGGGATTAAAGTTTATCTAGATGTTTTCATTGCTTCCAAAATTAAAAAAATCTGTAATGTTATGTATGGTGTATTAAAAAAAATCACCTAATATTTAAAATATGAGAGGTAGATCTACAATAAGGGCATAAGTCTCAGGTGAGAGATTGGAAATCCCTGGTACAGTAATTTATCTTAATTTAACAACAATTATCAGGAACATTCTGACAGAATTTTGTTTACAAAGTTAAAAACTGTACAAGAAACTCTAATAATGACATCCTGAAATTTTAGTCTGTTAGTACTGATAAAAGATAGTTTCCAACTACCTCAATCTTTCATACTATGTACCTGGGCTGTGACACTCAGAGATAACAGGGATATTCACTTGTACTGAATTCTACCTGGTGTGATTAGAGAAATAAGAAGGAAGAGAATTAATTTTTGCTGTAAATTTGGAACTGAGACAACAAGACCATGGTTTTCAAAGTAGAGGTTTTGTTTTAAAAGTGGGCTTGAGAATGCAGACAGGAGAGGATGTACCGTTTCTTTTTTAAGGTGTTTTGACATCCCGTTTCTCTGAACTGCCCGCGCCTCCTCTTTCGAGATTTGCGGTGGTGGTGGAGAGCGAGGAGGGCCGCCCCTCACATGATGGTCTCGCTGTTGCGGTGCTTCTGCGTGTCGTTCTCCTGGCAGATGAGCTGATAGGGCTTCTCATTCTCCTCGATGACGGAGTTGCCGATCTCGGCATCGTGGGTCTGCAGCTCCTGTCGGGACAGGTGCTCGATGATGCCGGTGCCCAGGGAGTCCCCCAGCACGTTGGTGGTGGTCCTGAGCCGATCCCTGCGCAAGCAAAGCCGAGAGTCACTGCCTGTACCATGCGTCAAGGGCGAGACTCACTTTTCAATTAGCAGCACGTACAACCCTTAAACATCCAGCTGTTTCTGTCTTAAATATTCAGCTCAGTTTGGCAACCAGTGCAAAAATGACAAAACAGAGTAACCCGTGACCACAAAAGGACAGAGCTATTCATTCCCACTCTGTGTTATGTAAAACATATCTGTACCCTACAAAATGCTCTCAACTTGTTCAGTATACACTATTAGTTCCTCATAATATCAAAATAAACAAAAATTGGATCCATCCATTTTCTAACCACTAAATCCGATTCAGGGTTGCAGGGGAGCTGGAGCCTATACTGGCAAGCAGCTGCTGCGAGGCAGGACACAACCTGGACAGGACGCCAGTCCATCGCAGGGCAGGCGCACTGACACAAACACACACTCACTCCAGGGCCAGTTCTCTCAGATGCCAAATACGCTACAAGTGTGTTTCTGGACAGCGTGAGGAAACCAGAGCAACTGGAGGAAACTCATGTGGAGAGCATGGGGTGAATAGACGACGTCCACGCGGATAACAGCCGAGATCTGGAATTGAACCCAGGACCCCTGCCCTGCGAGACAGCAATGCTAGCCACTGCACCAGCCTGCCGCCCACTTTCTCATCCACTTGTATGGTATGATGTGATGGGGAAAAATATCTGCTGCAATTAATAAAGCTGTCTTTTTCTCTTGGCTATAAGGAGGGCCAAATCTCCTCAAACCAACAGCCTCACACTTAAGTCAGGATGGCATTCAGGAAACGTACAGAAACCAGTCAACAGCAATGATCAGCGTAATGTCCTCAGTGGGCAGCCCCACGGATGTCAATACGATCACCATGGTTACCAAACCAGCTTGAGGGATCCCTGCTGCGCCGATGCTGGCTGCTGTTGCACTGATACTGTGTAGGAAAACAACAAACAAACAAACAAACAAAAATAGAAAGTAATGTAAAAACATGCTATATATCTAATTTCACACACAAAGTAATGTTCAACCTTATGATGTGCGCGTAGAGAAAATTGCTTCCATAAATGTTTTCACTGGACTGGCTAAGCAGAGGGGCCTAGATTTGTAAGCAGAAAAGTTGACAATAATAAGAGTTATTTTATCAGGTCAGTCTTGATAAACTATTAAACACACCAAGGTCCTGCTTTAAACCGGGAGCTCTTTGTGGAAAATCCTTTGGATAAAAGAGACAGCTACTGTGCGTTGTAGTATGTTCTCAGGTGATGTTGTCCTCACCTGATGGTGATGAGCTGCCCGAAATTGAGATCCATGTGATTGACCTGGGCGATAAAGATGGCCGCCACCGCCTCGTACAGAGCAGTGCCATCCATGTTGATGGTGGCGCCCACAGGAAGAACGAACCGGGTCACTCGCTTGTCCACTTTGTTGTTCTCCTCGAGGCAGCGGAACGTGATGGGCAGGGTGGCAGAGCTGAAAGGGACCGACACCTCCACTTCAAGACCTTACTTTTTCACAACGGAGGTAATCTGTTACCTGATCATCACCCACTGTGCAGCCATTTGGAAATTTGACAGGCTGTAGAGCAGCCTCTAGTGGACAGTCGCTGTAATTACAGCCCTGTCTTTAGCTGGCCTGCCACAGAAGTTGCTTATTATTAGAAGATTATTTAGCAATCTGATTAGCAATAAGAGAAAAGGGGGAACCAAAGGAAAAAGTTAAAATCTTCCCTATGATGTGACGTGTTCCTGCAACCGAGGAGATGCCCAATGTCTGCCCTGTATAAATGTTCTCCATACCTGGAGGAGGTCCCCAGGGCAGTGATGAGAGCCTGCAGCAGCCCGCCTATGAAGATATAAGGGTTTTTGCGCGTGACGACGAAGTAAAGCAGTGGAAGCACAAGCAGGCCGTGGATCAGCAGCCCCACGATGACAGAGATGGTGTACATCCCCAGCTGCCCCCCAACCTGCACCAGGTCCTTCATCTCCAAGATCTTCCCCGCGATGAGGAACATGATCCCCATGGGAGCATACCTGAGAGGACAGCAAAAGGAGAAGCTTCACTAAAGAAAACACTGCAGAAAGTGGAAGCAATCCATTGGATATGGATTATACAATTGACAGGGTCTGTGTTAACCCCCTGGGTTGACCCACTAGAGCCTAGAGGCCACTCTTGTGTTAAATGGCTAAACTTGTTCCATCAGCTAGGATGGGTGACACCTGAGCCCCCTTCCCTACTAGGTATGGCAAAGATGGAGGCAGAAAAGGTAGGGAATCAGATCTAGGAAACACCAGGGGGCTGTGGAGTCGCGACCAGATTCTCCCTTCAGAGTTACACCACCGCAGTTTTGCAAGAAGGAAAGGAGGATTTGTCATGTCTTCCTGGCAGGGGAGCCCGCACGAGGGCCTACCAGATGATGATGGCCACCAGGCGCATGATGGCTTCATTGAGGCAGTCGAAGAACTCGCGCAGAGCTTGCCCTTTCTGCTTCATGTTCCCGATCACCAGGCCGAAGCACATGGAGAAGACCACCAGCCCCAGCGCGTTGACCCCGTTAGAGGAGCCTGGAACAGGAACAGTCTCCTCCACAGTGATGGTCTCCTGGAGGAAACCGGTGAGGTTGGCCAGCGTAGGGGACTCGGTGACATTCGCCACCTCCGTCAGGTTCATGGCAGTAGTGATATTCTTCTTGTATACCCTCTTGGTATAAAGGGTTTTGTACTGGAGAAGACAAAAAGGAACAGATCTTAGTGACGGATCAAGCTATCGCACACTGCGTGACAGTATGACATATGTCAGGGAAAGGTTTTCAAAGTTTGTGTTGATTAATGCAAGAAATTGCATGAAGTACTTACTGTCAATACAGTACACATTTAATGCCTCAATATAAATTAAATAAAATCTGGCAAAAAAAAATCACATTTGCACACTGGATTCCTGAACTAATTGCTATTGAATATCAGCAGCAAAACATTTGGTAGGTACCAAATGATTCTCTCCCAGCCCTCTCACCGATTGCAAGACGTTACCTATAGATATCTGTGAAACAGACATGCGACAGAAATGAGAAAGTACCGCAGCAGTTAGCCTACCAACTGTTGTGCTGGACCTCCCATCTCTGATTTCAGTGTTATGAAAGCAGATTTTGTGTAACAGCACTGTTCTCCGGTGTGGATATTAAAAAAGCAGAACTCCACAATATCTGACAATTTAAATGGGTACCACTCTGGAGTAATAGGTTATCTGACTGTTACTTAAAGGAATTACTTAAAGGAAGGGGCGACACAGTGGTGCAGTGGCCATCTTTGCTGTCCTGCAGTGCTGGGGCCCTGGGTTCAATTGCTGGGGGGCTATCTGCGTAGAATGTGAATGTTCTCCCTGTGTTTGCGTTTCTTCCCTTTCCTCCCACAATCCAAAGACAAACTGGTGGATTCATTGGCTTCTAAGGAAAATTGGCCTTGGTGTGTGTGTGTGTGTGTGTGTGTGTGTGTGTGTGTGTGTGATTGAGTTTGTTTTTCCCCAGCAATGGACAGGCTCTGGCTCTACCCTGGACTGGATAAAGTGTTTTGAAAATGGATGGATGTCTTGGACTATGTGCAGTGCTGCAAAATGTGCACAATCTTTGCTTTAAGGAAGCAAGGTCAGGTTCCTCATTTTCAACATTTATAAGTTTATTGGAAGTTCCCTTAAATTCCAGTTTTAAACACAAGCTCTAAAACCCATAACATATCTGTGCTAAAGGTGTACTGTGCTTTACCTGCCAAACCTTGATATGCCTGATTTCTCACCTGTTTAAAACATGCTTCTACGAGGTTGGGAGGAAACATGTTTCTGAAAGCACACAAAAGAGAACAGGGAATTACTTATCCATCTCTGGAATAGTTTAATATTTTTATAGTATTTTAATATAATAAAAAGGGGCAACTGTTATCAGAAAGAGATATTTCATCCTACATTCTAATGATGATATTTCAAGTCCTTTTGTATTAAATTGTTATTCTGCCCAGAACTATTCAATTACTAAAGAATATAACAAGGAGAGGTGCCAGCATGTCACCATGGAAAGCAGACAGGGGGTTGAACCCTAGACCTTGTCATGGCCAGCATGAGACTATTTCCTCATACTGACACCGGCTTAGAGCCCTGCTGCTAACCTGATGAGGTCAAGGAATGCGTCGGCTGCCTGGACCTGCTCAATGTTGTTGCCTGTGGGCAATGGACTGTCCCGGTTCCCTTTGCCTGGTCTGATGATCATCACCATGACGATGCCAATGAACACGGCAATGAACGTGGTGACCGTGTAGTAAACTATGGCTCGCATTCCCATCTTCCCTGAGGCTTTGTTGTCCAGAGACGAGATCCCTAGAGTGCCAACGGTTCTTAATTAGTGATTGACAACATACCATTGAGGTGCCTCACAAACAGCGACATTATTTAATTGGAGGGCCATTTTATCGAAAGCAACACACAGAGAATACAGTAACCTCTTGAACATGTACTGGAATACGCTTTGTTTAAGGGCACAGTAGGGTCACCACCCAGGATCTGAACCCCCAACCCTCTGGTCAGGAGTCCAGATGGCTTCTCAGTACTCTCTACCCTGCACTGCAGTCCTAGAAGCCCACTTCATCAATGCAGCTTAAAAATCGCATTGAAGGGAAGGTGGTAATTCTGGTTTATTAAGCCAATAATTGACTCAATTAAGACTGTTTGGCCTTCCAGGACTATGAAAATGTACCACTGTTGCATACATCTAGTAGATCTTCTTACCCATTCAGCGGAATAATCCATACAGGAGTAATACTTAAACACTTATTAAAGTTTGATATTGCACTTCAATCAGAGGTATAAAAAAAAAGAATAAGTGTTGTGCTGTATTTCCTGAAACTAGTAGGAACCCATCTGTGTGTTTTTTTATTTTGCTAAATATTAAATGTTAAAAAATAATCCCCTAATTAATTGATTGAGCAATTAAGAACGAACTTTTTTTTTGGATTTTATTTTGTCCTTTGAGACAGATCTACAGGTGTGGATTTAAGAGGCTAACAATGAAATTCACACTTTAAATGCTGGGAAGCCTGCACATACCTGTCACAAGGCTGGACACAATCAGGGGCAGGACCAGCATTTGTAACATCCTCATGAGAAGCTCTCCGGGAAAAGAGAAATATTTAATCTCCCTGAGCGACATGTGACGAGACCGCAGGCTGAAGCCCAGCACGATTCCTGAACAAAGAACAACAGGAGGAAAAGTGAAATATTGCATTCTGCTCCAGTCTCTCAAAACTGATTTCACAAAAGATGGACATTTTTTGTCAATCTATGATTCAAAAGGATTCCTGTTGCGCATTCCATCACAAAGATTTTCCTGTAGTCACATGGAAGTAGTCACTTCCATGAGTCACTTTAGCAATAAAAGATTTCCCTAGATTACGTCACTTGTGTCCTGTCCGATATTAAGGAAACTAAGCATGGATTCTCATTTCTTTTCAGTATGTATTTTCCAAATAAAAGTCACATGCGAAGGTGCCTGCAGGGATTTGTTGAAAAACGTTAATTGATTCAATGACCAAAGTACGTGGATTTGGGCTTTCAGTTATCCCACAGAACTATTTGTAGTGCCTTTTTTTAAAGACAATACATATTGTCTTGTGTACTCTGGAACCCTAAGGAAGGACTGGGCCATTTAACTAATTCTGAACTAATAGTTTACCCGTTTTATGAATGTTTGCTTACCCAGCATGACAGCTGCCACTGTGAGCAGCACAAAGGCATTCCTCCACAGAAAGTTTTTGATGCTTTCTCTGGTGATGGAGGTCATGCTCTTCTGAGCTCGGGACGCCCGCTTCTGCATGGCCTTGCGGAGCCTCTGGAAACTGCGGTGGGAGTGTGGGTGCTTGTCGGAGTCTTCGTTCAGGAACAAGCTGTTAGTGTTGGGAGGCCTCTCATTCATAATCAGCTCCAGCACCTGGTCCAGCAGGCAGGACTCGTGGGAAACTGGAGGTTGAGGGATGGAGGAGGAGGGGGTGGGGGAGGCAGGAAGCAGGGATCGGGCACAGAAACGAACCCATTTAAAATCAGCAGCAAGTATGTGGAATGGAAGCAACTTATTTTTTGAATTCTTCTAATTAAACACCTGCTGTGCCACTCTGTTATAGGTTTTCGTATCGAAAGGAAAAGTTTATCCTCCTCAGATCCACTCCAGTGTGCAATTTTTGCTTGTACAAAACACACATGCACTGAAATGCACACTGGGACTGCAGCAGAGGTGAGTGGTAGTGCCGAGTCCTTTAAAATACAAAAGGAGGGCCATACTGTCAAGTAGTCATGAGGCAGATGGAGAAATGCACAGTGGAAACTGATTAAACTCAGGAAAAGCAGTTCTGGAGAGGGCACCCACTTCAAAGTCTTTTGCAAACATTTTACATTTGTATATGTTGGTTAAAACGGTACAGGGATGCAAAATGATCTAGAATTTGCATTCAAGCCTTCTGTTCACCTGCAAAGGGCAAAGGCTTTCATGTGTGTGGATGCATTTTCCTAAGAGCTGCAGGTGCTAGTCTCAGTTGAAACCTTGTATTTTCAATCTTTCAGCATGCTTCTGAAGTGTTGAGTCTAACTCTCGGGTTTACCAATCTCGAAAGTAGATGTGGAAGGACACTTATTGAAACTGGAGTAGATCTCTAGCAGTTTAATGTGTTTAATGAATGTGTCAGGGGTGTATGGCACTGGGAATACAGTGTATACTGAATACCCCCAAGGTGCCACCTTCTCTGTTCCATTTCTGTTTGTCAGAGCCCTTTCAGACCAAGAAAAAACAACAGCAATAATGCCCTTTTTCAGGGCAACATAATACAAATGTTTTCTCTTGCTTTAGATGTCAGATTCATGTATATGCATCCAATAACACCACAACAGTTGATTTCTAAAATGTATACATACCCACACATACCTGCTACAGAAGACTGAATATCCCTTAAAGAAATGTAACATGAAATATATTTAATAAGCAGTGGTTTAACTGATACAGCCAGGTCCTGTTTGGGGTTAAAAGCTAGGGCAGTGAGCTCACCAATTGCACAACACATTAGCTCAGCCTTTTCTCTGCTACTTGTGGGGAGTCCAATTAAAGATTGGCTGAGGTGCGATCTGTTCCTATTCAGAGGAGGCAGCGCTGTGCCAGCCATTGGAAATTCTGTTTCATGCGTCCACAGAGGGTATTAAAAATGCATTACTATGAGCTGGTGGCGCTTGTGCAGAGGCAACAAACCAACATGAGCCATTTCAAATCACGCAGAGAGGATTCTCCGCGGATCTGGAGGGGTAACCTTCAGGTCCAGTCCTCAGGAATGGATGAACAATGGGAAATAAACTTACGGACACTTCACAGGATGTTGACCGAGCACTACAGGGCCACATAGGACATATAAGAGAAAGAAACAAATAATAACAGAGTTTTGGGTCAGGTTGCTTTGGGGAGGTTCAGATCTAATGAATACCAGAGGACAGCCATTCTGTCTGCCTGCCTGGAGATTCTGAATACTACAATCTGCAGAATTATGAAACTCTTCTCACAGTGTTCTTCATCAGCCTCAACAACCAAAACATTTCTGCTACATTTACATATCATTGTTTGACAAATTAAAATGCAATTTACTAAATCCCCTGGCTGAACAAATAAACAGTACATTCAAAAGCAGCCAACCCTGAAGTAAATTTGACTAAACCAAACCTTCTCAAACTGCATTAATCTCTGCTGGTCAAGAACAGTTGCATTAAACAAATGCTGCACGATTTCAAAGGCCTTCAAAAAAAGAAGTGTTTCACTACAGTTACTTCCTCTGAATGTGATTCTTCTTTGAACAAAGCCCCTAATAAACGCCAAAATCCAGAAAGAAAGTTGAAAGAGACGTTTTCCAAGGTTGGATTTACAGAGTGCTTAAGGTAATCCTGCGTGTGTACAGCAGTTTCAAACATTTTGAGCTTCATGTGAGGCACAAAAACTATTAGGGTGGCAAGTGCACTGTACTTTCCTTCCTGCTCAAATCCTCCTCTTTAAAAAGAAAGAATAAAAATGATGAAATCCCGGGTCACCCAAGCTGAATTATTGTAAGATAACACTCTCTTTTCTAAGAAACCAGTCTGATAAGCCAATGGGGGGCACTTCCTGATTAAATGTGCTGCAGCTTGTGTGCAGATAATACACCTCTCTAATTAAACCACAGAAAACTGTTTGCAGGGCGAGTGTGAAGACTTACTGCTCAAGTGAGAAAAAATGGATCTGCTGTTTTATCCAGTTCCTAACAAACACCAATTAAATTCCCTGCAAATGTCTTCTTTTCATACTTACATCACCTCTTCCTAGTGCTGCCCTTATAGAAGCCGCATGCAAGCAAGCTTTAGGACAAAAATACACCGGCAAATTTAAACATGTGACGGAGCAACTGGCAACTTTTCACAGAAGTAAATCTGTTTGCAGCTATTTTTTACTATCCATGCGAGGAATGGTATGTAACTTATGGAGTATACGCTAGACAACCTTTTCTTTGTTTTCTGACTGTATTTTTAAATAGGTCTGCAAAGCAGGCAATCTAGGCATTCATGATTATGTTGCTTTATCCAAAGTGAATTACATTTAGAGACAAACACGTGGTTTATTCCCTGCTCAAAAGAGAACAAAGGAAACACAACGTTTCGTCTGTGGAGCCTTCTTCGGGTCTGGTACTTCTTCGGGTACTTCACACCCAAAAAAGGCTCCACAGGCGAAACATTGTGTTTCCTTTCTTCTCTTTTGAGCAGGGAATACACCTTTTACTTGTTCCTTTGCAGCCTACGCATGCTGACACTGCTCCCTACTTGGACTACATTTAGCGACGACAATCCTGCCTTTTTTTTTCCATATACATTCTGGTATCCACAGCTGGGAAAGATCTGCCCTAATACACCTTGCCCAAAGGTACAGCAGCAGTAAGCCCATGTAGGAAGTGAACTCACATCCCAATGGGAGAGAAAGCCAGCCCTCTTACCACTTTGCCACTGTACCATAACAACAGGTCCATTAAACCACTTGGAAGCCTCATAACTGCTGGCTATGTGAGAAGGGGCACTTCAGCTTTCCAGTATCCCCATGCAGATGTGACCTTAATGTGTTCAGAGGGGAGGTGTTTTGCATCACACTGCATATGGGGGCTTGAGCTACATCAATCACCTGTTGAAAAGACTCCTGCTGAGCAAAGCGCACAGGCCGATTTTGCTGTTGGAAAATGAACAATTACCTGTCACAGGTATATACTACCGCTCACAGAAACAAAGCTTGCTTTAAAGAGCACAAATATACTTGTCGTATTTAGCCATCTGGGACCTAAACAGAAAGCTCACACTGGAAAAACTAGAGCTGTGTGTATAATCACTGACGTGCATGATCTGAGAAGCTTGTAAAGGCATGCAAGCCTCATGCTAAATCCACACTTCATCCAAGAGCAGAGCGTGACCGAATGCAAGCTCAAGAAAAGGAAATAACATATACTGTACCTATTTAGAATTTACCATCTGCTTGCTCATTTTACCGAAGGAAAAGGAAAGAGGAAAACAAACTAGAAGAAGAGAGTGATCTGAGGCAGGCGTCCTCGCTGGCGTCAAAACTCATGTAATGAATGTTGTGTAAAAAAAAGGACACAGATCCTTTCGTTCCACACACAGCCACATGCAGCAGTTCAAGGGAATGGTGGTAACTTTCCCTGACTTCGACGACAGCAGCCTGAGTCCAGGTTACTCACCACTCATAGCTGCAGAGTCCTCGAACCTCCACCTTCTCCCACTGTTTCTAATCCCACAGGAGTTTCAGTCACAGGGATCTGAGCCAAAGTGCGCTGTGGACACTCTGCACTGAAGCTCATATCCCACGAGACATAAAAGGTTTGCCGTCCCGCCTGGCCTGACCTTCAACACCTTGCAATCTCACCCAGTGAGCTCCCACCTCTCATGACAACAAAGGCACCAGGGCTCCACACGTGCATGCACGCACACACACACACTCTCACTCTGCTCCCTGTCCAGATGCCCACCAGCCAACGAGCCTGCCCCATTCTTCAGAGGCCCTGCGTCTTTCAGCTGCGCTTCAGAACAAAGCCAGAACCAACGAAGAGGTCCGTAGTGTTCCTGCAACATCACCCCTGGTTTCTACACTAAGTGCTACACTTAAGAATCCCGGGAGCTTCAGAAAGTTATTCAACACTGTTTCACAACACAAGACAACACAAGAACCCGGGACCTGGACGGTTTCACAACCATTTACTGTGATCACTCCCCAGGGGAGGCAGCAAGGGGACGAGGTGAAGTGTGGCGAGCATCGCTGCCTTGCAGTGCTGGGGCCCCGGGTTCAACTCCTGGGGTGCTGTCTGCATGGAGATTGTGTATTTCCTTCCACCCTTCAAAGACATAGGGAGGTTAATGGGCTAATGGTAAAATTGGCCAGTGTGTGAATGTTGGTGGGTGTCCTGCAATGGACTGGCACCCTGCCCCTGCCCATTGCTTGTTGGGATAGGATCTAGCTTCCCTGAAACCCTGAATAGGATGGGCAGATTAGAAAATGGATGGATCAAGACCTTTTTGAATTTTGAATTTTGGCAGGGCAGGGAGTGGGAAAGAGCATCTCTGTCCCTTCAGGGTCACAGAGTCCTCCCTTTTTTATACCCTTGTACTGATTACCTAGCTAAACTGAATATTTAAACACAGCTGATTTTTTCAATGGCATGTTGTGTGTGCCCGGTGATGAGCTGGCATCCCTCCCAAAGTATATCCTTCCTTGTGCTCATTGCTTGTTCCAGTTCCCCTGCGACTTGATTGGATAAAGCGGATTTTACAAAGTTCTTTTACTGAGAATTTCTGCTTTCTGAGGATTTCTTCTGACCTGATAAGTTACCAGTAATTTATGATGGTCTCAGGCACAGGCATGAGTGAATAATAAGCATGCCTCTCTGTTTCCAGAAAATATCCATACCTCTTATTCATCTCAATTTTCCTACTAATTTGTTTTTAGATTTTGTCCAAATACACACGCACAACCACACTCATACCCACACCTTTCCAAACTTTCCAAAGACTGGGAGACACAGCCCACATTGTCCACAGGTTTAGAGACGTATTATCCTTGAAATACATAATGACCTTAATACAGAAACAAAAAGCCCAGCTGTCTAGAGACTGAACGGCCGAAGAACTGCAAAGTTTTTTTTTTTTCAGTGAGAACGACTGCCAGTATAAAGTTGTTACAGCAGAGTGAAAAAGCAGAAAAGGAACTTGCTTAATTTGAGTGCAAACTGAAATTCAATAAAACCCTTGTGTCTTTCGCAATAACCAGTTTCATTTATTAACATACAAAGTGTTTTTTGAACCAAATGGCATTCACAGTGTACAGAAAATAACACATTAAGGGCTTTGACATACTGTGTAGTAAAATCACACATCGCCAGCTCTTTAAATGAAATGCAAGAGTAAATACAAGACACACTGGTGCCTGCTGAAAGGAATCAGCAGTGCTTCAGCAGGGACCACAATAATCTTGCCATCTCCCCCTCAGTGAAGAAAGAGGAATGTAAAAGTCGGGTATGGTTTTTTAAGAAGTTCTCTAATCGACCAATCAATGCCTTGTGTTTTACAGGGTAGGCTTCTGTGTGGAAGCCCACCCTAGCATATTACATAAAAGGACAGTGTGAGGGCTATAAATGGCAAAGAAAAATGAACAACTGATCAGCTGGTGCAAAAAAAAAACTTGCTGTGTATAACCAGTGAAGTGTCATTAAAGTCCGTCCACATTGGTAAATTTAATCCAGCAATAAAAATGACAACATGCTCTAGCATGCACGCCAATACTGTACACATCTGTGCTTCTCCAGAGGACTGTCTTTGCTCCACAGTGGGAGCCGGTGGCAGGAGAGGAGCAGGCAGACACACACGCTGATGTGTGGTGACCCCGTGACCTGTGCGCAGAGGGCTCTGGAGGGGGGAATTTCAAAAGCCTAACAGTGCCTTTTCTCCGAACCGCAGCCCCACAGACAGCTGTCCACACCGAAGACATCAGGACATAAAACCCATTCATTCCTCTCATTCTTATTCTAGCTTCAGAATATTTTTATTTATGAACGTACACATGTAATTGATTCATTTCTCACTGTGTCAATGTTATGTCTTCCAACTAACTGCTACTACTATTACAAACACATTTCGTTTCCAGGGCGCCTACTAGGAGGGCTGTTAATGGTCCAGCTGCTGCTCATGGTGGGAACATCAGTCAATAAAAAGGCTGAGTATAACAGGCTTATTCGTTCCTTACCTTTACTCCCCACGGAGTCTGTCACAACCTGCTAGCAGCCTTTCTGACTTCCCCAGGGAAATAATCTTCTCCAAATCTCCGGGTCCCGTAGAGCGCACACAGTCGGGCACGTTGGTAGGACACACAAACGTATTAAAAACACACAAACAAACAACAAACAAATAAGCCGGAGGGTCCCAGTGCCGATCAGGGGAAAACCAAGTTCTCTACTTGCGCGCTGACACCTCGTCTTGCAAGAACAGCGGCTCCAGCCTCCCCGTCTGTGCGCGCGCGCGCGTGCGGGTGAGCGAGCGAGCGCGCGCCCTCGCAGCCCCTCCTGCGGGAAGGAGCGCGGGGACCCGGCTGGAGCTGGCTGTCGCGCGGGGGGGCACAGCGCGTGTGCGCGGAGGAGGGGGGAGTCTTCACAGCCCGGGCGCGCGGAAGGGGCGAAGGCACCCGCTGCCTCGTCCCGCGTCGAGCTCAATACCGAGAAGCTCTCTCTCGGCCGCGGGGCGCTCCTTTAGTAGCCTTCTCCTCGGAGGAGGGGAAGTTGGGTGGGCGAGAACGCCTATCTGCGTGGTCGTGCGGGCGTCGCGCCAGCTGCAGTTATAACCCGGGCTCAGATTCTGCGTGCGTTTCTGAGCCATCAGCTGCGATCGAGGAGGACGGGCTGCGAATGATGTGGCTCTTATCTGCCGAGGTGACCAAGTTGACACGCCTGTGTGTGTGTGGGGGGGAAACTGGGGCTTTGCCATATCTGGAGCCCAGAGGACCATTATAAAGAATAATAAATAGTTTAATAAAATCTTCTGTCTCACTTCTGCTTTTCCACTACAAGAATTGCTACTACGATTACTAATAATAGGCTGCTGCTGCTACTACTGCTACTGTTACTCCTGCTAAAGTGTGGGGTGATGTGGCACTGCAGAGGGTCAGCATTGCACAATGCTGGGGCCCAGGGTTCAATTCCAGGCCTGGGGAGCTGTCTGGGTGGAGTTTGTATGTTCTCCCCATGTTCCTGTGGGTTTCCTCCGATAATCCAAAGACATGCCGGTGGGTTAGTTGGCTTCTGGTGCGAGTCTGTGCGTGTCAGGGATGTACTCTGCTTTGCACCCATTGCTTGCTGGGATAGTCTCCAGCTCCCCTGTGACCCTGTACTGGATACGGTGGTTAAGAAAATGGACAGAAGGAATAATAGCTTTCAGTTACAGGGTTTTAGGAAACCAGATGTAATATGATTCAGATATTTGGTCTGTTTTTCAATTCTGGAAACTCACCGTCTCACTTTTGAGTGTCGAACGCAGCTGAGCTGTGTGCAGCAAGGCGAGCAGGATTAGCATCTGTTGCTATTGCCATGGCAACAGGCTCGGCAGCAGCACCGGGGGATCTTGGGAAGGGCAGTGCTGAAGCGGGTCTTGGCGTGAGGATGGAGCTCAGGGGGAAAATGTGATTCGCTCCAGCCCACAGAACCTGTGTCACTTCGGGTTTGCTCTGTTTACAGCCACAAAGCAAGCACGCGTCATGAACTTTCAAGGCGTTTTCAAGACCTCTTCCAAAAAGACGGTCGACCATTGAACCACCAGACCAGAGAGCTGGCCAGTCGGCCCGTCTGGGCCTATCTGGTTAAGTAGCAAACTGAGCGAAGAATCTCACCCAGCTGAGTTGTGCAGTAAGTCAGGTTATCTGCTTCAACATCACTGTGCAGCTTAATTCCACACTCCACCACCCTTTGTGTAACAAAGTGCCTGTTCTTAATTTGAACTAGTTTCCACGTGTGTGGTTTGTGCTTGTGTTCATTCAGGAAAATCTACGAAAACTCACACAAGAGCACAAAGGTGTGATGCCACCAGCAACACAAGCAGAATGCAAACAGACTATTTTATTTCCTGTCTAACTGAGTCCTCATGCACCCATATAACCAGGAACCAGCAGGGCAGCAGCGCGTTTTGTTTGCTTTAGTAGGGTTACGGCATCTTTTATCTTTAAATCTGCAGCAAGACAGAGGCGTGGGCCAGAAATGGCAGTGCTGTGGGGTTATCAGCCTGGCTCCAGTTTTTATCCAGTGTCACCTTGCAACTGCTTCTCCAGCTATAACTAGGCTGCAGACACTAATGCTGACCATAGATAGGCTTAGTCTCTGTTTGGACCAGAGTTTTTGTTTTAACTGTTTAACTGGACTACAGCAATGAATGCGTAATGTTTCTTGGTGCATTGTAAAACTCTCCCTGGGTAAGCCTTGCTATTGATGTTTCTAGAGTATTTTCTGCTTTAATGCACCTACAGTAAAGGAAGATTAAAAAAAACAGTTCACACAAATTAGCAGTAGGATCATAAGAAAGTATTGTCTTTTATTGTCCGGTGTACATGAACACACCCTCATATTTATGCATTAACATTTATACAGTCTTCTTATAAACCCCAAAACCTCCATGAAATCCTCTTACAAGTTTAAAACAGTTCCAGGCTTATTTGCAACAGTAGCTGTATGAAGAATGCATCAATGTTTCAGTGCAAAGACTCTCACATTGCCTTATATACATCATAGGTTTTGCACCTTAAAAAATGAGGAGGGGAAAATTAATGTATAGACAGGTGTTTGTGCAAAATGAAATTGAAATATGTGCTTTTGGCACAGCTCAAATAACTCAAGAAAGGAACCCATTTGCAGGTCATTTGAATGCCAATGACAGGACAAAGGGAACGATGTCACTGCAGAAGCCTTTCATGTCACTGTACAGCAGGTCTTCCAGACTTTCCAGTCACTGAGGTACACGGAGGATAAAAAGAGTTCTTATGCTACTGTAGGGGCACACTGACACACTACTGGGTTTCTGGAAAATGCTTTTCAGGGTTTGCTCGTCCAAAAGGAACCAAAAGACCAGATAAACCCAATGTAAAACTTTAAGATAAACCTTATCTTACTTAAAAGAGTAAAACTCATGTGCCTAATTCTCTAGCTAAAAGGCCTGTATTTAGCTTGCTGTTTTCTTTAATTGCCTATGCTGTATAAATCCTTTTCTGGTTGCTTAATTTCTGAGGAGTTTTACCTTCTCCTGCACAGACTCAAATCGACTCTCCTCAGAATGCCCAACTTTAATACAGCTTTGGAATGGCATTCCAAGAA